TGGCATTTGCCAGAGAACACGAAGATTGGCAACTTCGCCACTGGCACCCTGTGCTCTTCACAGATGAAAGCAGGTTCACACTGAGCACATGTGACAGACGTGACAGGGTCTGGAGACGCCGTGGAGGACGTTCTGCTGCCTGCAACATCCTCCAGCATGACCGGTTTGGCAGTGGGTCAGTAATGGTGTGGGGTGGCATTTCTCTGGGGGGGCCGCACAGCCCTCCATGTGCTCGCCAGAGGTAGCCTGATTGCCATTGGTACCAAGATTAGATCCTCAGATCCCTTGTGAGACCATATGCTGGTGCGGTTGTCCCTGGGTTCCTCCTAATGCATGACAATGCTAGACCTCATGTGGCTGGAGTGTGTCAGCAGTTCCTGCAAGACGAAGGCATTGATGCTATGGACTGGCCCGCCAATTCCTCAGACCTGAATCCAATTGAGCACATCTGGGACATCATGTCTCGCTCCATCCACCAACGCCACATTGCACCACAGACTGTCCAGGAGTTGGGGGATGCTTTAGTCCAGGTGTGGGAGGAGATCCCTCAGGAGACCATCCGCCACCTCATCAGGAGCATGCCCAGGCATTGTAGGGAGGTCATACAGGCACGTGGAGGCCACACGCACTACTGAGCCTCATTTTGACTTGTTTTATGGACATTACATCAAAGTTGGATCAGCCTGTAGTGTTTTCTTCCACTTTAATTTTGAGTGTAACTCCACATCCAGACCTCCATGGGTTGATAAATTTGATTTCCATTGATATTTTTTTGTGTGATTTTGTTGTCAGCACTTTCAACTATGTAATGAACAAAGTATTTACTAAGAATATTTCATTCATTCAGATCTAGGATGTCTTATTTTTCTGTTCCCTTTATTTTTTTGAGCAGTGTGTGTGTGTGTGTGTGTGTGTCTGTGTCTGTGTATATGTGTGTGTGTATGTGTGTGTGTGTTTTCTGAGGTTTTCGTGGGTGTTTGTATGTAGGTCTTTGGTTATTCGGGTTTTTCCCGCGTAAAATTGGAAGTGTCTTGGCGACATTTCGACGAAGTCTCATTCGTCATCTTCAGGCTGGTGTTTTCGGCTTTGTGCTTCTAGGAGCAATGTGTGATCGCAGCTGTTTCTTCCTTTTAACTGCTAGTGGGGGTGTGAACTGATTGGATGGGAGCTTGGCTATGTTCTGATTGGGTGGAGGTGTGTTCTGATTGGTTGGGGGCTTGGCTGTGCTCTGATTGGATTGGGGGTTGGCTGTGCTCTGACTGGATGGGGGTGTGTTCTGTTTGGGTGGGGGCTTGGTTGTGCTCGGGTTAGTCTGAGTTGAATCAGTTCACACCCCCACTAGCAGTTAAAAGGAAGAAACAGCTGCGATCACATATTGCTCCTAGAAGCACAAAGCCGAAAACACCAGCCTGAAGATGACGAATGAGACTTCGTTGAAACGTCGCCAAGACACTTCCAATTTTACGCGGGAGAAAACCCGAATAACCAAAGACCTACATACAAACACCCGTGAAAACCTCAGAAAACATACACACACACACATACACACACACAGCTCAAAAAAATAAAGGAAACACAAGCAGAAGACATCAGAGATCTGAATGAATGAAATAGCCTTATTAACTACCTTGTTCATTACATACAGTAGTTTTATGTTCCCTTTAGTTGTTTGAGCAGTGTATAAACTACTGTATGTAAAGAACAAAGTATTTAATACGGGCTATTTCATTCATTCAGATCTCGGATGTCTTCTGCTTGTGTTCCCTTTATTTTTTTGAGCAGTATATACATACATACATACATACATACATACATACATACATACATACATACTTGGGTGGGATTCTGGAGGTCTACAGTAAAATATTAAAATATAAAAACAGAATATAAAAATTAAACATTTAGAAAATTTAAAAGGAGGCAGGGATGATTACAATTTGTTAGCAATTCATTTAAAAGGTGAAGGGAGGGCTTTATTACAGGAACAGCAGGAAAGTTCATGCAATGATGTGGCAGTGGAAGGGGGGAGGAAATCAATGGCAAATTTCTAACACTGTTAGATTTTGAGCAGCTTTAAATTGTACAAAGAATATAGCTAGGGGGAAAAAGACTGAATAGAACAAACATCAAAAATATGTTCACATTTTACCTCATGAACTACAATCTATGTTTCAAAGCACAGAAACTCAGAAAAAAGTCAGAAATTCTGGGTTGTTATCTGAAGACAGTAATTGCCATGACACAACGAAAAGTCCTTCCACTTTCAGGCACCAGTGAGCTACCATCTTAAATGAAAAAAGGATAGAAATTGCAAGCTCTAGGATGGTATGTAATATCCTCTAATGAAGCTAAAGATCATTAAATCTATACTTACATCACATAGATTACTTCCATGTAATAAACAAAGGACATATTTTTATGGCTTCGTTGAAAAAGTGTCCACTTTATATAAAAAAACTATACCACCCAGCTTGCTTTTGTCAGACTCTGCATGAAAAGCATGTCTCAATTCTGGGTACTGCAATCCAAGGATATTGGTACTGACAAACTGAATATAGATAAGGACGATAATGATGGCAATAGCAATAGCAATAGCATTTAGACTTATATACCACTTCATAGAACTTTACAGCCCTCTCTAAGTGGTTTACAGAGCAATCCCAACAATCTGGGTCCTCATTTTACCGATCTCGGAAAGACGGAAGTCTGAGTCAACTTTGAGCTGATGAGACTCGAACTGCTGGCAATTGGCAGTCAGCAGAATTCGCCTGCAATACTGCATTCTAACCACTGTGCCATTACAGCTTGTGATAGACACAAAGTCCATGTATGTGGAATAGGACCAGGAGGAATTTGGTATGTTTATCTTGAAGACATAATGAAGAAAAGCAATCTTATAGTAATCTTACGATATATGAAAACCAGTTTGTATTATTTTTCTATGCCTCACCATTCTCACATCAAACTGCTCACTAATAAACCTATTACTAAATTTATTAAATTACTAGCAAATGTACTATATTCAACTTCATCATTAAAATATGTTATTAAAACAGTTCACAAAATATGGTTATGCTTCCATTTTCAATTTTTCAGCAAAAATTTCTGTGATGAGTCCATTTTTGTATGATAGTATTCTGTCTAGTTTTGATTTACAGAGCTCAAGCAAGTTCGAATGATAAAGAATAAACTTTATCTACTTATGGTTCTAGCTTGTTAAGAGGGGGAATAAGCCATTTCACTCACTTATTTTGGCCATGTTATTCAGGAGAATTCACTCAAGAAAGCAATTATGTTTGGTAGCGGTAAAAGGAAACAAGGCCATCAAAGAACATGGTGGCTGAACACCATCAAATTGACACCAGCCAGAGGATAGAACAACTCGAAGAAGTAATTCAAGATCGGAAGATGTGGAGAGAACCGTCCCATAGAATTGTCAAGAGTCAGACACAACTGAATGAATAATATCATCATCATCATTATAAAGTCAATTCACATATAATATTAAGCAAATCATAAATGGGGTTTCCCAGCTTGTTCAATTGATTTTCATGGTAGGGAAAACAAGGAAGAACTGACGGAACAGCATGGCAGGTTGGTTGCCAAAAGACAAAACAATTAGAATTCTATCTTATTGTTATATAACAATTCTATTTCTATTATATAATCCTGCTGAATATATTCATTAATGTTCACATGCCAGTTTGGAACTAAGACACAATTATGTCATTAATGTAAAATACATTCATTTCAGTGAAATGTAAGTAAGTTTAATTTACAATGTTCAATTGAAGACTTCATATTTAAACACCCACAAAATCCAATGGGAGGAGGTTTTTTTTTAGTAAGACAAGAATGACAGTCACATTCATAAATTGAACGTTATTGTTATAGAAACTGGCTTACTAAAAGGAAGGAAGGTAGGAAGTTGTTAAGCAACAGTAACATTAAAAGAAACCAAAAGCAGAACTAAATGTCAGCCACCCTCAAATGTACTATCTATAACTCAACTTTAAAAAAACTCAGATTACTATTTTTTATAAAATCTTCTCGACAGCACAATCCTTACATAAGTCTTGAACACTACATAACATTACAAACATCAAAGCACTAAATAAGTAAATACAATAGTTATTTTGACTGAATCACTATGGAATTCTTGAAATTTTTTCTGTTACATGCTAAGCTTCATTCTAGGATTCATTATGTACTCTGCTCTCCAAACAGGTAAGATGAATCAAACTGCATTAGAGCTATAAAACAAGGTATTCATTCATTCATTCATTCATTCATTCATTCATTCATTCATTCATTCATCACCAGGCTGCAGACTACTTCTCAGTGGCTAACAATATAATATAAAAATAACAATCTACATGAACCAGTTAACTGATGGCAAATCTAGACAACACATAAAGCAGAAATCATACACCTAGCAGGAGCTCCATCCATTCTTGCCCAAAGCCTAGGAGGACGAGAGGCAGGTATTTAAGGCCTCCAGAATGCCATTAAGAAGGGAGCCACCCAGATTTCAAGAGAAAGCCCACTTCAAAGGACAAGAGCCACAATGAGAAAGCATCCCTCTTGAAAAATGAGGGACTCAAAATACACCCATCCTATCAGTCCAAACAGACCAGGCAGGTAACACTGAAATGGGCAATATCTCAAATAACTGGTTCATATGAATATAAGGTTATAGAGGCCATAACCACCCTAACTACTCAAATATTCTCTTAAATAATGTGCAGTATTTAAAACTAGAAAAATGAAAGATTTGGTATATAGTATAGAATACTAGTATAGAGTACTAGTATATTATAGTAGTATAGTATAATCATGCAACTTCAAACATACATTCAGAGAAGTGCCATTCCTTACTGAAAGGCTCATAGCAGACAGCAAAGTATGCCTACCATAATTTTAACCTATTTTATTTGAAAAATAAAATCACTGCTTTAAAATATATAGCCATAATGTATTAAAGAAAACAAGACACTGACCTTTGTGATAAGAATTCTATATTTATCCAACATCACTTGATTATCATGACATCCTGCTAGTAACTGCCATACTTCAGCTCTCAAAGCTTCTGGTACACCCCTTTTCACCAATGAAGATAGACCTTTTGGTCGCATGTCCAGATTATTATGCCTAGATAAAATAAAGATAATTTTTTTCCAGTTCAATTTTTTTCTCTGTTTCTTATATTTCTATATGTGATATTGAGACTGCTAAAAAAAATACGGAGGAGTAGGAAGGATGCTTTATCACCGTTTTGATCTTGCTAAGGTCACATTTAAGTATAATCCATACCATCTCAATACTATATCCCAGCCTGAAACCCAAGGGATCCATTTCCTCCAGGTCCTTCTGGAGCTGCAAGCCTAAAAATAGAAGACTGGAGTTAACCTAAGCAAGACTATGGGACAATTATCTGTGGACACCATGACACTGGGAAAACGATTACATTTTGCTGCTTTTATTTCCACAAGGTCACCCTAAGAAAGGCTGTTATCCATGCACAATTAGATTCAACATTTACTTTCTCCAGCACTATTTTAAACATCTTTTCTGTTGTTTCATCTCCTTGAATTTCTCAAAAAACAAGCAAGTTCTCCAGTTGTACCTGTGATCCAATTCAAAGCCATGGCTGTCCCTTCATTCTAGGTAGTGACAAGGACTTGGTTGAATTGTACCTAAGAACTGCAGGAAAAGTAAAAGTTTTCTCTGAAACTCAACAGGGTCCATTAGACACCTGAAGAGGACCCACTGAAGGGAAGACTGGTTGCAGGCAACTCTGTGGCTAACACAAAATGATTTGACCAGTGACTGTTCCCACTATATCAATAGCAAATGGTTTTTTCAATGAAATCTAGCCTACTAAAAATACAAAAAAAAAAAAAAATTAAAAAGCTTACACTCCAGACAATTGCATAGATCTTTTTAGATATTTTTTCTTCCATTAAGTCATGTCCATTTCTCACTCCCTGCAGTTTTCTTGACAAAATTTTTGTGATTTGCCATTTCCTCCTTCCTAGGGTTGAGGGAGAATGATTGGCCCAAGATCACCCAGTTGGTTTCATGCCTAAGGCAGATCCTCCAGTTTATATAGCATGATGTCTTAACCACAACACAAAACTAGATTATACTCCTCCAAATAGGCAAGGCCAGAACAAAGTAATTTAATTTAAATTTCATTAGAATTACATACTATTTCATTAAATAATCAATAATATAATTGATACGATAATTTTCCATTTTGACTTTTAAAATTACAGTTTGGTGAAAATAGGAAGGATTCCACAAACAGCTTTCAACGCTAGGACTGAAAATCTGCATATTTGAGTTAAATACTTCTAAAAGAAAGCTTATTAATTTTTTCCCTGCTCTGCAGTTCTGAAAGTTTCTTTTAAAAGTTAGTTTAAAAATTTTTCTCATTTACTCTTACCATCGTCCCAACAATTCTCCCCAAGAATACAATATCTTCTCTGGGCAATCTTTAGATACATCACCAGTACCACTTGAGAGTTCATTATCACTTCCTGCAAGAGAGATCAAGAGCAACAATATTGATCAATGTCATAATATATCCTTTATTTGAGTTACGAATAAGCTAGGTATGCTGGCGGTATATTGCCCATCCTGCTGCTCAGCAGCATCTTTACTCAAGAAGCTTGACCTCATTCCCAAAATGGGTATAGTCCCTCCAGATGCTAGACTGGGAGACTTCAGCATCCATGTCTGGGGAGGGGGGGGATAGAACAAGATCAGCTCATGATTTTAAGACATCCATAACTAATAAACTTATCCATTATTATGGAACGAATGTATATAAGTGCATTTTACTCTCACCCTCTTCAGCATCATCCTCTTGCAAAGAAATTTGATCAGGAAAGCTTAATGGACTAACTGCTTCTTCCTCTCTTTCAGAATTGCAATGTAGACTCAAGACTTCGTAGATTGCATCTCCAGCATTTATACTGCCCTTCCCTTCACACTAAATACAAAAGACAAAAAACATAATTCAGCCCAAGCAACTCTAAATACTAAAATGATTGTTCATTTTTTTCCTGTATAAGAATGAAAAAAACTAATGGATAAAACAAATTCTATTGGTTTGACTTAATTAAGCCATTACTGTTGCTTGCTAACACGGTAGCTAATTTAAAGTTTGATATGCTAAAAATACAAAAAGAAAGAGTAACCATTCAAAGTAGAAGTTAAATAAAACAAACACAATAAGGTATAATTCAGCCCACTTAACAAATAATTTATTTTTCTATCTGAAACATTTAGTTGCCTGAAACTGAGAAGAGAAAGCACTCATGCAAAATATCAAAGCAGAAAATCTATAAACTCACTGTCTATCCTGAGGAGTAAAAAAAATAATGTAATGCCAAGTTAGTAACAAAAGATTCACTGTCTGTTCAACATATTCAAAATACACTGCACGAGGCAGGCTCTGCACCCTAGTAGTAAGTCCAGCTCCCAGGCAGCCATTCAATGCAATATTACAAAGTATAATGATGGCTAACTCAAAATAAAGAATATATCAAGTTACCTCCAAAAATCTAAGTATATCAGACAGCCTGACTGATGCCTAAAAGGTAACAAAAAAGGTGCTAGATCAGGAGTGTCAAACTCGAGGGCTGCAGGCCGGATGCATCACACGCTGGCCACCCCCACCCCCAATTTAGCAAAGGGGAAAAAGTCACCATACGTCACGTTGTTACAACATGTCGCCGCGAATTTGACACCCCTGTTTTAGATGAATCTTCCTTAAATGGAATTTCACAATTCAGTTATTCATTTAAAGGAGATTATATAGCTCTATATAGCATATCCTATACATGATTTCTGGGTATTTAATAGAGGGCACATGGACACAGATAGGTATTTAACAGAGGAAATTCCAAGCTATTAAATTACGACTTTGATGCAGTTTGCTTTCTCTAGCCTTATAAACATGTCCAGGTTTTTTTTATTGCCATAATCCCAGATCACTATGCCATTCATTTTACTTCCACTTATGAAAATTGCTCTTTGAGGCAAAAGTATTTTGAACCTTCAATCGTTGGACCTGTCTTGCCGGAAAACTAATAGGCTTAAACAGAATGTCATTTCTGTCAATCTTCAATCTTTTTTTTCAACGCTAAAATTAATGTTTCAAAAACCCTAAGTATAAAATTGTTATACCTGTAACAGAATATATTGAATTCTGAATTGAAAAGAAGTTTCACATATTTTTCTCTCATCTGAGGAGTTTAACTAAGCTGCTATATTTTCTCAGGGACAGAACCCTTATTGTAGACAAGTCATGCTTACAGGGTCCTTATATACTCAAGACTCTTTCATTGTTGTAATTAAAAATTTAACATGCTATTGCTCAATTTTCATATTAATCGTATACTTGTGCTTTAATTCTGTTGATCTGTTACAGAATGAGTAGCATAATACAAGTGAAACAAACAAACAAACAAAGCCCTTGATTGCAGACCCAGCAGGAAAGACTCAAATCCTTACTTGCCATATCTGAAAAAGTTTTCTTGAGCCAAAACCCTCTTCTGGCACAGGACCAGGGGTGAAATCTAAAATTTGATACTACCGGTTCTGTGGGTATGGCTTGGAGGGGGGTGTAATGTGACTGGGTGGGCATGGCCATTTTTTTTTTTTACTTTTTACTTTTAAAAGCATTTTTTCTACAACCTTAAGAGGTTGCAGAAAAAAATGCTTTTAGAAGCCTCTGACGATCAGCAACTCAGCTGGGATCGCCAGAGGCTTTTAAAGGCTTTTTTTTCCCTACAGCCTCTTCGTCCCAAAAAATGCGTTTAGAAGCCTCTGACGTTCTCAGCTGAGCCACACAATCATCAGAGGCTTTTTTTTTAACTTTTAAAAGCATTTTTTTTTTGGCCTAAGACGTTGTAAAAAAAATGCTTTTAAAAATAAAAAAAACAGCCTCTGATGATCGCGCGGCTCAGCTGGGCATGGGGGGGGCAGGGATTTTTGTTACCGAACCACCCGCCACTTCTCCGAACCACCCGCCGCCATCGCTACCAGATCGGGCGATCCGGTCCGAACCGGGAGCATTTCACCCCTGCACAGGACATACCATCATAAGTAACATAAAGTCAAGTCTTTCAACTGAGGACATTTTACATTTTCAAGATGGATCCAATCATGCACTAACAAAACCTGGTTGGGGGGTGGGGTGGAGTTCAACTTCTTGACAGATCTTGTGAACAAGCAGCAAAGTGAGAGAGAACAGCCCAAGGACACAGTCTTTTTCAGGACAGGCGCTTAACTGCCAGGGGGATTAAGGATATGGAAAGGCTAGGAGGTGAAATTGCCAATCAAAGGAGGACAAGACTCCTGGCATCTTATGCAGCAGCAGGAGAAGGGAACTAAGAGAGGACATGTGGGAACTGAAGATAGAAGGACATGTCTACTTAGATTCATTGTTCAAACCTGGGACTATCTCCCTCTTTCAGAGAGGCTAAATTAGAAATAATTTTCAAACTGAGATATGCTAATATGGATGGGGGGGGGGTTACAGATAAACTGTACAAAGAAATTACCCTATTTAGCTATTACATAATAGCCTGTTTTCCTTTATTCCTATATCAGCCAACTTTCTCCACTATCCTATTGCTCTGAGTTATGTTAACGTACAGACCTGAAAAATTTCTAAACCTTCAAAGGTTTTACTGATGAGGACAATGAGATGCTAAGTCCTAAGTCCTACCTATATTAATTTCCTTCGTTCATGTCCATGTTCATATACATACCTGCTATCTTGTACATGTTTGACAAACTAATAAATAAATAAAATAAATGGAAGAAAGTAAACCTAAAGGAAGGTGTGCAACAGACCAAGGCAAAAAAATAAACTGGACTTAATTTATTTTAAGTGGATTTAATTACAGTAGTTACCTATAATGTCTATTAGGACTAAGCCTTGGCTTATCCACATCCATTCTCTAACTACAGGAAGTCCTTAATTTATGACAATTGAGCTCAAAATTTCTGTTGCTAAGCAACATATTTGTTAAGTGAATTTTGCCCAATTTTACGACCTTTCTTGCCACACTTGTTAAGTGAATCATTGTAGTTGATTCACTTACTAACATGGTTGTTAAGTGAAACAGGCTTCCCCATTGACTTGTCAGAAGGTTGCAAAAGATGATCACATGCGCCTGAGACACTGCAACCGTCATAAATATGAATCAGCTGTGAAGTATCTGAATTTTGATCGCATGACCATTGGGATGCTGCAATGGAAGTGTGATAAACAATCATAAGTCACTTTTTTCAGTGCCGTTGTAAATTTGAATGGTCACTAAATGAACTGTTGTAAGTCGAGGACTACTTGTATTCCCTTCCAGGAACATTCAATCAGATAAGGCAAAAATAGCTCAAATCACTTTCCTAATCAGCCATAAATTCCAAAAAGATATTGTTATGAAAGGTATCATAACAAGAAATCCTATAGAACAAACAGAAATGGATTTCCTCTGTCCCATTAGTGGTGCAAGTCTAGCCATAAAAGCAGTAAAGTTAATTGTGTCTCCCACTCAGGATTGACCCTTTTTTAAGTCGTGCATTTGAATATGCAATTTTATCATATTTACTAGGAATCCTAAACACCTTGTTAAATCCTTGTATTAAAAATAATTTTTTTTCTTCTGCTATGTCTCAGTTGTAATAGAGTATGAATGAATAAAGATAAGATATAGATGGAAAAATAATTTTAAAAATTAATTTTACCTTCATCATTTTTGTTTAGCATAACAAAATTCTGATAGCTTTTAGACTATTTTCTTAAGACACTGAATTATTTCATTAAAATTATTAAATAAACTAGCAACTCTTCTGAATGAGAATTGTTAAAGAACCCAAATTTCCTATTAAAACATTCACAAACTTTCAAACTAAGATTCCATAGTTTAGCATTTATTTTCATAAGAATGCAGCCTATGTTATCAGTCAGTCTAGAAATAAAAAGGTTGAAATGTTCTCAGATGTGTAGGTTTTAAAGGAACATTCAGTCCTTGAAACTCTTTCAGAATCTGATAAAAGGAGCTATTTTTCAGATATGGTAAAGTATCAAGGTGGCATCAAAAAAGCTATAAATAACTGCATTAATAAAAAGAACAGTATGCTGCACTTACTCTTGACACAAGAAACAGAATTTCCTTTCAGCAATAAAATTTGTAGAGTATAGCCTCACCAGTAAAAAAAGGGGATTTGATGAAACTGGCGCTCTTGAATCTTTCAAAGCAAACAAATCATGTCACCCCTAAAGCAGCAGAGTAACCTACCAGAGATTTATTGCAGCTATTCTTATGAACAAAAATTCTCTACCCAACTGCTTTCCAAACAATCACTCTCCCAGTTCATATACCAAATGCTAAAATGAAAAGTCTTCATACACAATAGGATTCCATGAAGTAAAAAAGAAACACACAGAAAAAAAAATGAGTATAGAAATTAGTGTCTCAAGAATCTCACTGTTAATTCCTTTTCAAACGCTCAGGTTTGATAAATAGAAAACTGAGTTTGTAAATCTAAGTTATGTTAATTAAGATGGCATGCAACATGGGCTAAGAAAGCTGCCCAGAAGGATGGGGGAGAATGTCCATGCCCTATGTAGCATTCTTTCTTTCTCTTACAGACTGGAAGCAGAATACTGAAAAACAAATGTTAATTTTAACAAAACTTTCAAATACGCGTCCATTAACCTGTTCGCAACTTATCTCTCTCTTACTGTAACAAGGACAATAAACAAATACAAATGATAAATGAATAATAAACAAAGAAATAACATCACAAAGACATATGTTCAAGTCATAAAAAAAATTGAAATTTGTCTAGCTGCCATTATTCAAAGATGTTCAGGTCTCATTGAGTACAATGCAATTTATTCCCGGGGGGAGGGGGGGCATGGAGAGTGCTGACATTCCATGGGGTGTGTTTCTGACTCTGCAGATTTCGTAGTGCAATCAAATAGCAATAGCACTTAGACTTATATACTGCTTCATAGTGCTTTTACAGCCCTCTCTAAGTGGTTTACAGAGTTAGCATATTGCCCCCAACAATCTGAGTCCTCATTTTACCCACCTCGGAAGGATGGAAGGCTGAGTCAACCTTGAGCCGGTGAGATTTGAACTGCCGAATTGCAGCTAGCAGTTAGCTGAAGTAGCCTGCAGTACTGCACTCTAACCACTGCACCACCTCGGCTCTAGTGATCCCATGTTCCCTGAACTGAGGGCTGCGCTTCTTCCTTTATAGTTTCTTTTGCTGCTATCACTCTTTGTTATGAAGCTTATCACTATTGCAGAAGTGCAAGCAGAGTGTGTGGAGCTTGAGTTTGTCATCATTTGAAAGCAAAAGGATTACTGATTGTTGCAAGTTTCTTTCCTAAGGAGGATTTCCCATGACACATGCTGCTTTCATGCGGATGCTGCCTATGTTTTGACTGCGTATGAACATTGATAAGTTTCTCTTAGTTCTTACAAGTTTGTGTTGAGGTTGGGATGAACTGTTGGGTGTCTGTAGACAATGCTGGATTTGGTTTCTCTGAGGATAAGGAGCCAGTTGTTGGTGCTTTGAATAGTAGGAATGATTAAACTGGTGGCATAAGGGAGGTTATCTGAAAAAATGTTTTGTGGCATACCATTATTTTTTATTTACTGGAAAATTTTGTGTTGGCATATTACGATACTCATGGTAACTAGACATTATATCAGCAAACTCTAAGTTTTAGTCAATGTGTCATCATAGTACATTACATAATTGTAATTATAATATGAGCTCTCTGCCTGTATTGTTTAAAATGTGGGCTGCTGCAACTGGAAGAAAGTGAAGATGGTTGGTCTTCTTCAAAACCAGACCCCCATATAACTTACTACAATATAGACTTGGAAAGTTATCAGTATATTAATCATCTAAGATATAAATTTTTGCTTGCCCAAAAAGCATATGGAGTTGGTCTGTCACATTCTCTAAGAATTTGCCTAAAATCCTTACATGAGGGATGATTCAATAATGTTAGTTAGTCCTCGCTTACCAACCACTGATTCAGCAATTGTTCAAAATTTTGATGATGGTAAGTGAGTGGCACTCACAACCAGAATTCAAAGTTGTGTCTGCAGCAGTGTCCCCCTGGCAGAGTTTGGGCACTTCACAACTCTTGTGTATTTACAATGGTTGCCGGGTTCCGTGGTCACATGATTGCCATTTGCAACTTTCATAGCCAGCTTCCAATGAGCAAATTCAATGGAGAAGCCACTAGTGGATAAATTATACTGATTGATTGTTTTTGTTTTTGTTTGAGATGATGGTTATATAAATTCCATAAATAAATAGCAAGAAGTTGCAAATCCCAGGCATATGATATTATGCTTAACAACCCATGGTGATTTGCAGCCAGAAGTGATAAACTGATGTCAGGTGCAGTCATGTGACTTTTTACTTTACAACTGCTTCACTTAGCAATAGAGTTGCCAGTCCTATTTTGCAATTGGTAATAGAGAACTACCTGTATTATTATTATCCTTACCCATTTCCTCCTGGGTAATTTACAGTTGAGAAAGGCAGGGTTTAAAAATAAAGATGAACCATATCCAACAAATCTGCAGTTATGTCACTTGACTAAGGCAATCAATCCTCCAATTCCCAGCTCTCAAAGAAACTTGCCAAATTCTCCAACTGAAAAAGGCATTCCTCCCTATTTATTTTTTTTATGTACCATTGATGGCCAGGTTCCATTTGCCTATAAACTGTAATCCCCAACACTTAATTTACATAGCATTTTGCAAAGTATATATAGACAATGAAATACTTTTCCAACTCATTAAATTATTTCTTCTTTTTATTAAAAATTACCTGTTTTAATTTCATATAGAATGTTTTTGTGTAAGTTTTCCTGCTGAAGTACCAGAAGCGTTCATTGGCTGGATACACTCGCACAAGTGTCTCTAACAGAAAACGAACTGGCTCTACCACTTCTGTGACTACCATATCTACTGCCACAGTCATGTATACACGCTTATCTGTAACACACAAAGAAAATTAAATTTCACATTAAATGGCAATAACAATAAAGTATACTCATATGCTTGGGAGCTTACGATTTCTACTCTACTGAGATTCTTCTCTTGTATAACTCCATATTGGTATTTCATAACATTGCCCTCTCACCTACTCTTCCCTTTTCTCTCCAAAGTCCCACTTCTATTTATGCATCAGATCTGACTTTCTTAATGCAATATCTATTGCATTATAAATAAATGCATATTGCAGTTCATGAAGAATGCTATTAAAACAGAAGGCTATATACAATATATTTAATCCCTTTCCAATAATGTGATCACAGAATAGCATTTTAAATGCATGCTTACCCTTAGGAGTTTCTTCATTTAAGACTAAAAAGATAGGTATATTAGGATTCCAAAGGCCAGTTATTGCATAAGCTTTACCATCTGAACTTTTCCCCATAGACTCCTAAGAACAAAAACAGGATTTTTCCAAAATTACTTTGCAGTTTTCAATATTGTGTCTGTACAACTAAAAACCATAAACATTTTAAAACAAGTACAATCTTTAGTCTTAATTAACAACTGAACAATAGTAGAGCTAATTCCCTTAAATTGTTTTTAATTTGCCATTTGTTTTAATAACATCTTATGTGAGTATAGGAATGTAAAACCACAGAGCCAAACAAAGCACATTTAGCTAAAAACTGCAAATTTATGTGGACATTATTAGATCTCACATTTTACATATGATACATCAAAAATATTCTATATCTTTATATTATAAAGATTGGATTATGCCCATGTACATATAAATAGTCATATCTACTTCAATTTTACAAAGCTTTTTCCTTGCCAAATTTCCATATTCTCAATATTTATGTGAAATACATATCCAAGTATTTTGGACAAATATATTTGGACCAATGGGTTACTAAAATAATTTATTATTTTGAAAGCCTGCTGGATTTGGTTTATTGGAAATTATTTAGGCCATCTCATTTTGTACCATTATTAGTTTTCTCTATAGGAGGAGGAGTTGAATTTGGTTCTTCTGCTCTCAGGTTGACAACATTTTAGCTAGGATTGTCCTAGCTAATCTACATAAATTTGATAAGATGATGAGAGCTACTTGAAAATCACCATTACAAATCTCTTAAAGTTTTTTCTAAGAAACCATCTCTCCTGGGTTAGCGCACTCCATTTAGATCTCTCAGAGAAGGGATGAAGCAAATAAGATCAGCTAGGGACCTACATCTGGTGGCTCCCAGGTGGGTGTCTGCTGTGGTCCCTGCCTTACATCTTTCCCTCTGAAATTAGATTGGCCCATCCCTTTTGATTTTTTGAAAAGCCTTCAGGAGCTGGTTATGCTGATAGGCCTGGGGCTCTGAGGGAATCTGAGATTTGATGGCTTTATTGCTGAGAGCGCCATTTTTATCTTCCCTTTGCCCAGAGTTTATTATTGTGACTTTTTAGATTAGTTTATTGTTTTATTTATTGTTGTATACTGCCTAGCGTCCCCCTTTGGGGAAGATGGGTGGTTATATCCATTTGATAAATAAACAAATATGGAATCCAGCAATCAGCAATTAATGAAGGCAACTATACAACTACTACTGAAGAATATTCTAGAAGCATAACCATTTTCTGCCTTCATGAAAAAAGAAACAAAAATATTTCCAATTCTGATTCCAAAAGGCTATATTTGGGATGAGAACAATGGATTTTTTTGACAGAGTCATTAAATCCAAAATGAGTATTATCACATAAGCTTTTGCCAGTTACACTAGAGAATTATTACCATATCCAGTAAGTGCATGTCACTGTTTTTGACATTTCGACCTGGACTTAGCAGCATTCCAAAGCACCTGCAATCAGGATTAATGAAGACAAGAAAAAGTCAAGTTTAAAACACTGAATTGTATACTGATATTACAGAGTATCATTTTCAATTTAAATAGGGAAAACCAGTCTAATCCAGGTCCTATCAAGATAGTCATTTTAGTGACTGTAGCCTGAGGAATACATAAAATGTTTGGAACAGTGAAACCTAGTAAGTTGTCTGTTTGACACTGACAATACCATGGGTAGGAAAAAGTGGAATAATTAACCTGACTGGCTTTATCTAGTAATTAATCTTGTTGGAAAGAAAAGTAATTAAATTCAGAAGTCAAATTTACTCTGAGGTTCCATTTTGGTTTGCAGGCAAGTAGAATACAGAACAAAGATTTAAGCCAGTTAAATGCTAGTTAAATACAAAGCTAGAAAAAACTCTATATCCGTGTTGGCGAACCTATGGCATGAGTGCCGGAAGTCACAGAGCCATTTCTCCGGGCACGCGAAGTCATTGCCTGTTGTTCTTCCGGGTTACGGTACGCCGGTCATCTGGTTTTCATGTGCACGGGCATGCCGGAAATTGGAAGAGCAGCCGCCCATTGCACATGCGCACTCCAGGAAAATGATCTTCCTGTTTCCACAGTGCGCATGCGCACCGGCCAGCTGGTCTGGTTTCTGGCGCACATGTGCACACAAAGACCAGCAATTGGCGCGCGTGCCAAAAGACGCAGAGAGGGAATTCCTGCGGTCACTTCCTAAGGGAGCAGAGCAAGGTAAGCCAGGGATTCCCTCCCTCCCTGCCCGTGCGAGCTACTTGCGCAGTCCCAGGCGGTCCAGACCACCGGTGGACCAGCAGCCTTTTGCCCATGCTGCTCCCCCAGTCAGAAGGGGGTGTGGGGAAACACACGAGGCCACGGTTGCTGCCAGCCGGGCCCGCCCGCCTTCTTCGGTTGGCGGGCGGCTGAGGCTTGCAATGAATGGCGCAAGCAGGACTGTAGCTCCGCCCCCGGGCTGTAAATGTGCCTTGCGGGAGCGGAGGCTCGGGAGAGTCGAACCCTCCTGTCTGCCTTATGATGGGTTTTTCCAAGGCAGGGCTGGGCTCTCCAACCTTGGCAACTTTGAGAACTCTGGGAGTTCTCAAAGTCCACAAATCTTAAGGTTGCCAAGGTTGGAGAGCCCTGTTCCAAAGGGCGCCTGCAACCCGCGACTGAAGGAGCTGGAGTTGTGGCTGTGCCGACTGTCCTGTCCCGCACCACCCCATTCGGCTCCCTTCCCCCCAGCCGCTCCCTCCCGCCATTGGGCTTGGCGCCTGCAATCGCACCAGTTAGGAATTGTCCGCGCTGCTGGCGGATCCCGGGCTTCCTCCTCACTGCACTCCGAGGGACCCAGCAAGGGAGCACCAGGACCCCGGCCGCGCTGCGCTCTCCCCCAAGGCAGCCCCGCCTGGACCGCTGCCCGGCCTGATGAGCAGAGAGTGAAGGGGCGGCATCTCCGGCCGGCCCGGCACCTGCTCTCTGCTTGGAGGACTCGCTGCTGTCTCTAGGAACGGTGCTGAGCTGAGCTGCCCCAGGAGCAGTGGCCGCGAACCGGCGCTGCGCTCTTGGTCTCTGAGGGAGTCAGCCCTCTCCGTGGGGAAACCCACAGCAACACGCGGGGAGAGGCAACCCGATGCGAAGCGGCAGCCCCGAGGCTGGACTCAAAAGGCCTCTGCTGGGATGGGTGAATGGGGCGCTGGCGAGTTGTTAGGCAGGGCCGAGAGCGCTACCGCCGGCTTGGGAAAAGCTATCTCGCTAGGGTAACTGGTTGTCCTCCGGTAAGAGGTGCGCCGGCCCTCTTGGAAAAAGTGGGGGCGCATGCGTGGTGGGCGCACACATGCACAGTGGGGGTTGCATGTGCGCATGTGCAGTGCGAGGCGCATGTGCATTAGAAGCATTGGGCGGGTCATGTGCAAATGGGGCACCCATTGCATTATGGGTGCTGGAATGTGAGAGCGCACAAGGGTTTGCGCGCTCGGACTTTTGGCACGCAACGCCAAAAAGGTTCGCCATCACTGCTCTATATGCTTCCAAGCGCCCTTCTAAGATTCAGAATGCAGCAGAACATTACTGAAATTATACTCTGAAGGAGAGTAAGAGCTTCTTTAGCAAAAGAGAAATGTAGCAATTAGAAGAAAATCCGAGCATAATCAGTCAGACCACATCTATTAAGTATCATTGATTACAATGGAAAGACAACAAATGAAAACAATGTATTAGGGCCGTATACTTCCTCAGATTTTACTAAAAAAAAGTGCTCCCAAACAAGGAGAAAGGGAAATACGGTGCTTGTTTGCAGTTTATTAAAGCATCTGTATCTAGTACTAGGATTACAGAGCTGCTGTGAGGCAGCTTCCATTGTAGCTACATGGTTCTGAAAACCAACGAAGTTGCTTAATTAGCTGCAGTTCATATTTTTAATTATATATTTAATTTATATGCTGCCCATTTTATCAACAGCGACTCTGGGCAGTTTATAAATACAGAAGTACAAACATTACAATATTCAATAAAGCAAAATTAAATAACAATTAATCTGTATTGGATTAATCCTTATAAAATCCAAAGCGCTGCACAGTTCTACCACTTACTTATCTAACAAAAATTGCAAATGCAAACTTCATTTTGCAGTTGAATCAAAAGACAAACTGTAACTGTCATTTCCCTTAAATTTTCATTTTAATTTTGTAGAAATAATAACACCACAATTTTTGGGCCATGGGAAAACCATAATTGGGGTACTGAGGGGTTGCCTATTTCTGCAAATACAGACTTTGGATTTTATTTTCTGACAGGTCACTGACAGTTATTCTTGCTCTACATTTGCTCTGGAATATTCCATAACTGATCTTCCAATACAGCTGTGTATACTGATGAAGAATAGTGTAAACCAAGGGTCTCCAATCCCCAGTCTATGGACTGGCACAGGTCCACAGCATGCCAGCAACTGGTCCGATCAAATAAGTGAAGCCCCATCCACAGGATACAGGCAGCACAAAAAACCACAACCCCTCTATTCCCCAGAAAAACCTTTCTCCATGGACCCGCCCTTGCTGCCCAAAAGGTTGGGAGCCGCTGGTGTAAACTATCTGAAGGACTGTATTTTCAGAGAGTTAATCCCTTCAAACCACTAGATAATATTTCACTTTTGCTTAGATTACTGTCTTTTAACACAACATTCAGAGTTATTCTCTGATGTTACAGATAGGCAATGTGAACTAATGTCACAACATCTTAGATAAGTTACAGCATTTACATGATGACATCATCATGCCCTTGTCATTTGTTTCCTTCCATGTCTATTCAGTTTTCTTTCTTTCCTGACCTCTAGTAAGTAAAGGAGCCTTTGCACCTTGTTGCAATTGAGAAACAGATTGGCTTATGTCTTTCGGTTTTTAAAGCTTGGGGGAGCCATCTTAACTTTGGACCTGAATGTTAGATGAAACCCAGCAGCAATTGCTGATGAATGCATTCAGTCTACAAGTATCCCAAATTGTGGAGGTTTTACTGTTGTTTAATGGATCAATATGGCTACTATCACAACAGGAATATCATTAATATCTATATTAAAAACTTAGACATCTTAAGACTAACTTGCTTTAAAATTTGCCACTGCAGCATATTCAATATTCTAATTAAGCTCAGCTGGGAAATTCCAGCTTGTGACCCCATAGTAGATCTGGTTCGTAATGCAGTAGCCAGCAGCAAGATCTTCCCAGTGGTGGTAGATAATTACTAATTATCAAGAGATGCTTAGCAGATAACTACTCCAGACCATAATATATTTTTAATTTCCTATTTTGATTTATGTTTTTAGTTTTAAGTATTGTTCTTTCATGCTGTTTTCTTGCTCTGGACACATGAAATGAAATGAAACAAAATGAAAATTGTTGCATCTACCATAAAAAAAATCCCCCTTCTAAGGTAGAGGTGGGTTAGTCTACTTACTATCCCACCAGCTAACCAAAACAAAATTTCAGAATAGGCTCAACTTCCCATTTGGTGCTGGAAGGTAGAAAAATAATATTTTACTTTCTAGGACGGGAAGAGAAACAATCCATATTCTTACAGGATTTCCTTCTATAAAAGTTCAGAAAAACTGTAATTAAATAGTACTACGGTATTACACATGATCCTCATTTACTGGCCACTTGTTTAGTGACTATTTGAAGTTATGACAGTATTGAAAAATAACTTTACAGCCGATTTATGACCATTAGTAACCTTCTCAGTGTCCCTCACTCACATGATTGCCTTAATAGTCAGTATGCACTATCCTGTGGCTGCCGTTTTTTTTCCACCCCTTTGCAAAGCAAAGGGTTTGGAGAGGAAGGGGTTGCAAGAAAGTAAAGCTGTTTATCTTCTACATATCAGTGGTGAAATCTAAAATTTGTTACTACCGGTTCTGTGGGCGTGGCTTGGTGGTGATGATGGGGGTAATGTGACTGGGTGGGCCTGGCCATTTTTTTTTTTACTTTTAAAAGCATTTTTTCTACAATCTCTTCGGCGAAGAGGTTGTAAAAAAATGCTTTCAAAAGGCTCTGACAATCCCAGCTGAGTTGCCTGATCGGCAGAGACCTTTTTTCTTTTAAATGCCTCTGACGATCAGGCAACTCAGCTTGGATCCTCAGAGGCATTTAAAAGAAAAAAATGATTTTTTTTCTTTTAAATGCCTCTGACGATCCAAGCTGAGTTGCCTGATTAGCAGAGGCATTTAAAAGAAAAAAAGTTTCTGCCGATCAGGCAACTCAGCTTGGATCGTCAGAGGCATTTAAAAGAAAAAAAGGGTTTTTTTCTTTTAAAAGCCTTTGAGGATCCCAGCTGAGCCACGCGATCATCAGAGGCTTTTTTTTTTACTTTTAAAAGCATTTTTTCCACCGAAGAGGTTGTAGAAAAAATGCTTTTAAAAGTAAAACAAAAAGCCTCTGATGATTGTGCGGCTCAGCTGGGCATGGGGGGGGGACAAGGGATTTTTGCTACCGGTTCTCCGAACCACCTACCTCCATCGCTACCGGATTGGGCAATCCGGTCTGAACCGGGAGCATTTCACCCCTGCTACATATTACATGCACTGGCAGCCCAGGTTGGGAGCAGCAGGAACTCTATGCAAACAGGTTACTCTCTTGAAATCCCTTTTTCCAGTCTCTGCACTCTAAAGGGGTGTGTCAGATGTGAACAACCAGATCCATACTTGCAGAGTTCAACTATTTTATTATGTTCTGCCAATAATACAGGAATCTCCCCAGTCTGGCAGCTATCCCCTGGGAACAACTAGATAAGATTCCAAGGAATTGAGGGAGGACCGGTTGTGGCCTTTTTATGGTTGCACAGTGACTCTAGACTTGCACCATGCTTCATCCCTACTAGACTGAATACTTCCCCAACATTGGGGAGAAAAAGAGCATGTAATTTCTGTAGACAATTTCTCCTTTGCCTGACAATTCTTCCCACCTCCAGAGTGGAAGACTGGAGAGGAAGGGATTGTAAGAGAATAAGCAGTCACTTTGCTTAGCAGCAGAATTGTTGATCCCAATTAGTCATTAAGCAAGGTCTATCTATATTAAAAGTCAGGGGGAGTGAGTTACAGTTAAATACAATGACATTAATAACTAGGCTCCTGAGGTTGTTGTTCAGGAAGGAAGAGAAGTTAAAATAATAGTTTCCTAACAAAAGAGCCACAAAAATTTATCTCTATGATTTTTTGCAGATTGTGTTTGTGCAAAACCTCCCCCTAGAAATAGGAAAAAAAATAAGGAAAAATTAACCAACTTATAATTTGTAACTATCACTGAATATTAAATTTTTATACAAATATGAGTATGGGTACAGACAAACCTGACCTTAAAAAATACATTGTTAATAGTCCAAATTTATGCATAAACAACTATGACAATCATTTATCAAACAGGTTTTCTGAGTGCAACATTCTTGAAAAAATTAAGAGAAAAGCAGTAAGAACCTAATATGAAACTAAACATTGATTTCAAATCTTATGGAAAGGCTGCCATCTAGAGGAGATCGTTTTTAAAAGCAACATTTTTGTTGCTTTGAAAATGTTTATTTTTTTTAGTAGACATGAATTAGGAGCCACAATTTTCAGATAGCTTTTTATTTCCTTAATAATAAAGCAATTTTATTCAAATTTTATTTTATTTTACAAGAAAGCAAATTCAAACTTTTTCCATTTCAAGATTCCATCTTGGAGGAAAAAAGGTACCTTCCTCAGATACCTTCACCATTGCTAGAATCTAACACATTCAAGATCACACTACACAGCTATTTTTATGAAAAATAGAACAGTGAAAAATTAAGTCATAGATCTCACATATATTAATTTAACCAGGATATAATCTGCATTAGAACAATTATCCAGAACAGAAGGAACATTTTTAAAGTCAAAAATCTATCTTTAATAGTTCTTTATAGAATATGAAAAATGTTCTAATAAATGCTGGATGAAATGTTGGATCATATTTCGAGAACTCAATATTAGCTATTGGCTATTATAAAACTTTCATAAATAAGCTGTATACTAAAATGTATTTATTTCAACCTTATCAACCCCAAAACATTTCAAGATAGCTTATGATTTTTTTAAAAAGCATACAAACACTTTAAAATATAATGAATAAATCAATAGAAAATATTAAGGACAGACAACAGAAGTTGGTGGACAAAGCTATTAAAACAGCTTGCTGAAGAGAAATGCTAGTTTGGTACTCCAAATTAAGCTTTCATGTGATTTGTTTAATCTTGGTTTAGCCTAACACGTGAACTTAGCCACTATAATTTGTAAATCCTTTGTATGTGAACCAAACTGCTTATGCCTATTTCAGCAATCATGGATTACAGTAAACTATATTAACCTAAATTGTTAACCAAGCATTTGTAAAAGAACTAAGTAACAATGTAAGTGACATTATTACTATCCAAATACTAAAAATTCAATAGTAGTGTTACACTTAATACAAAAAAAGAAGAATGAATACAGGAATTCCAAGATACCTTCAAAACAGATAAAATATTACACAAACTGCATTTTAAGTTCTGTATTCAATACACTTTAAATGATGCAACGACTGGTACTGTATTATTAAACTGAAAAACAAAATCTAATAATATGTAGAGGAGAGAGAATCTGTTGATAAAATCCATGATTTTTTATGCTTGCCCTAGGAGCCCCTAAAGTCAGAGGTTTTATTTGTAGAAAAAAAAATTTACAATGTCTTTTAAATCAAAAGTTATACAAGACAGCTTGGAATCAGTGGCTTGAATTTTAAAACAATGCAAACTATGGCTATCCAAAATTAAGAATGAAGCAGCAAATAGAACATATGCTTACTATTAAACTTTTCAATAAAAAGGATATAAAAAGCTTTTTATATATATATATATAAAAAAAGCTTCAGAATATATTCAAGAAGAAATATTGCACACATTTGGGATCCTCGGCTAAACGTCCTGTTCCTGTTGGCCTATGAACTGAACTTTCCTGGTGTGGGCCAAACAAGGTTAAGCAGGTTCATACAGGTGAACAATCCTTCATACAACTTAGACTCCAGGTTCTCCTTGACTTATGACCAAAATTGAGTCTAAAATTTCCATTGCTAAGCAAGGCAGTTATCGAGTTTTGCCCCATTGTATGACTTTTTTGCCATAGTTGTTAAACGAATCACTGTAATTGTTAAGCGGTCGTTATGATTTTCCCCATTGACTATGCTTTTCAGAAGCTGTCTGGGAAGGTTACAAATTGTGATCCTATGACACTGGGATACAAATACATGCCAGTGCTGAATTGTGATCAATTGTGAGTATATGCTTATATGTGAGTATATACGGTAAGCACTTTCAATTGGGATCATTAACAAGTCAGCAACGGAAATGATGAAACACTGGTGCAAAATTCACTCACCCTCCAGTTTTTAAATTATGTTTTTGTGGAAATACTATTTTGGAAAGACACTGAGATTATAAACATTACAAAGCACTATTAATGACGGATGGTAGCTATTATTACCTTTCAATGGCCAATTCTTTGTTGGAAATCTGCTGTATAGTGATGACAACCTTCTTCTCAAGGCCTTGCTTTAGTTTGAAGTAAAATTTCTCTCTGTCCTTTGGTACTGGACTAAAGAAGAATAACATTCTATCAAAATCTGTTCAACAGCAAACTCTAATAAAAATTCTAATAAAAAATAAGTTCCTCTACCTCATTAAAATCAAAGAACTTCAAAAAGGCAAAAAATAAAATGTTTTTACATATTGTAGGCAGCTCACTATTAAAAAGACTGTCTATTCCAACATTGCCTCTGATTTCTAAAATCTTAAACGTTTAGGAATATATGATCCAGTGGTGAAATGTAAATTTGTTATTACCAGTTATGTGAGCATGGCTTGGGGGGGGGGGGAATATGACTGAGTGAGTGTGGCCAACTTTTTTTTTTAACTTTTAAAAGCATTTTTTCTACAACCTCTTCAGCCGAAAAGCATTTAAAAATGCTTTTAAAAGGCTCTGACAATCCCAGCTAAGTTGTCTGATCGTCAGAGGTTTTTTTTTCTTTTTAAAGCGGAAGAAAAAATGCTTTTAAAAGTAAAAAAAAAAAAGCCTCTGAGGATCACACGTCTCAGCTGGGCATGGGGGGGGGGCAGGGATTTTTGCTACCGGTTCTCTGAACCACCCGCCGCCATCACTTCCGGATAAGGTGATCCGGTCCGAACCAGGAGCATTTCACCCCTGATATAATCTATTTTCTAAACTATGATAAACTGCTTTACTATCCATCAATCCTTGCATTCTGTTGTTAATATGTTCATTTTGAATTCCTTAGAGGATGGTTATGAAGCAATCTGAACAAATAGGCAAAATTAATTTACTTTCACAAATTTAAATTATTTAGGTTTTTTTCCATGTTGTCATTTTTTTCATTTACCTGAAATTCCCTTTACCATCATCTTCTTTGACCTCTAAAGAAACAGTGAATATGAATATATCACTGTCAGGACTTGAAACAATAGCATCCTTCACATTATCTGATGCCTGTTTGGAGGAACGTTTGAATGCTGTTGAAAAACTATACAAAATTCGGCTAACCTAAAAATAAACAGAGGATGAGAGAAGGGCATACAAGATAATTTAGGGAGAACAGAGAAAGTTTAACAAAACCAATAATTTATAATGCAAAATCAAAATGTACAATACTTATATATGTAACTAATTATTTTACATTTTACATATTAATTTTCAGAAAAAAACTAATTTGCAAATTTACAGTTTGCTGTTCTTTAATAAGTCTTCCGATACTTGAACCTTAAAAGAAGAACAAAATGTATTTTATCAAATATAAGATGCCAAGCACAGCATCTTAATAATCAATAAACCATATCTATTTGTCAGCAAAAAAAAACTGTTATCATAAACATTCTTGAATAGTAACCTGAATTTAGGAAACATATACTAATTGCTGATAAATGGTAATGCCAAAATTATCTTTTATGAACCTCTTTTAAAGCAACGAAATACTTATATTATATAACTATCCCAAAAATTTGAAGGGCATTCACTTAGTATGCTACAGTGTTCTTCCCATAGCAGTTTTAGAGGGCCGATACAAAAAAATACCATATGAACTGAGATTGTGCCCCTGCAGACAAGGGCTTATTGAAACTATAGCTCATGTCCTACTATCTTGTATCTTCTATAAGGATTCGCATTATAATACGTAACCTAATAAAATTTCTGGGAAATACTGATCTCTTCTTCCTACGACTGCTGTATCAAATCAGTATTAACTAGTTTCTTTAAATGTACCCAAATTTTGCTATACTGTATGCAAAATTAGGCAGACTCTAGTGCCCACTGATAATCCATCACTAATTGTAATATATTATTTTGTCTGTTTTTATTTTTTATTTTTATTATTAGTATTATTTTTAATGCTTTTATCTCTAATGCTGGTCTGTGACCATATAAAAATTGATCGATCTTTGTGACTAGTAATTCAGGAAAACCTGAAGAACCACAGGTCACTCATTCAAATCCTCAGTGAAAACAGTAAATTTAACTTCTGAATGAAGATTTTTAATATCACATTTATTTAATATCACAATTATTCAAATGATAAAACTCAGTTTTATTCTCAGTTTTTGAAAGACACTGAAGTAAAAATCAGCCCCATTTGGATTATTTGCATTCCTTAAAACATAATGGAAGCCATAAAAAAATAATAATAAAAGGTGCATAGAAGTTAAGTAATTGATTAAATTCTTGCCAGATAACACTGAAGTCACTTTACAGGACAAATGGCATCTACTTGGTTTTACATCCAGAGCATGCCCTCCTTAGATGAAGCACTGGCTGTGTACTTGAATGTGTTCCCAGTTGGGCATCCAAGTCCCAAGAATTAACTTTGCTTGCCCAATGTTTTTTCCGAGGAAAATGGAAGATTTAAAGCAAGCTTCTGCTTTCATCTGCTGCCTAATGAGATGATGGATGGAACAGAGATACAAAAGGGAAGAGAGGAATAGAAGTGGTTGGGTTCATGTGATGATTAAAGTTCTTTATGGGAGGGGGTATTACCATCTGCCTTATAGGAAGCCTTTCTGAAGATGCCATCTTTGGACCCAACCGTGTTGGATAACTTTCATTCAGTCTCCAATCTTCCCTTTATAGAGAAGGTTTTTAAGAAAGTTCTTGGAGTTCAACTGTAAAGGACCTTGGATGAAGAGGATCATCAGACTGGGTTACAGTATTAAGACGGTATTGGTTCTGTTTGTGGGTGCTCTTTGGAGAAGACAGTAGTGGTACAACCAGCTTGGTCTTCTTGGATCTTTCAGTAGCTTTTGACAGCATTGGAATTGGGAGGCACTGTTTTATAGTGATTTTCCTCTTTCCCCTGTGGTCAGTTCTAATTAAAGTTGGGGAAGGGGGGATTGTCTAACTCTAGGCCCTTGCATGTGAGTGCCTCAGGGGTTAAGTCTCTCACTTCTCTTTAACATCTGCATAAAAACTGTGTGAGATCATTTGATAGTGTCAGATGCATTATCATCACTGCTTCAGGAGGAGGTAATTGCTCAACTGGGAGGGGGGCACATGTGCAGATATCCATCTCCTGTGCACATTCCTGGACCAGCAAGTCTTGCTCATGATCACTCACAGTTGAATTATTGTAATACAGTATATCTGAGGCTGCCTTTGAAAACCACTTGAAAATTACAACTGGTCCAGAATGCAGCAGCACACACAATGTTGCCCCCACCCCCATTTACCAGATTACATTGATGTTACACGAGCTGCACTGGCTCCCACCTTCTTTCAAGGTGCAATTTATGATGTTAGCTATCATTCTTAAAGCCCTATATGGCTTTATGTCAAGTTATTTGCAGGATTGTCTATCTCTCAGGCATCTGCCCATAGCACCAGGTCAGAAAGGTTGGATGTGCTTATTAGGTCAATCCCCTCAAATGTTACAATCTAGTGGGGCATAGGAAGCGTGCCTGGCAACAGCAACAGTGCCTTTTCTGTAGCAATGCTGGTTGTGTAGAACACCTTTTTCCTGGATTCTGGCATGCCCTCATCCTTTTAGTGTTCTTTTCCTCCAAGAGTTGGAACAGGACAAGATTGGAGTGCAGGGATTTTATTGGTGGATGTATTGGAAAGTGTTGGTTGAGATGCTGGGTTTTGGTTTTCTCTTCTTTGGTTTTCATTATGGTTGTGAGCTGCCCAGAGTTATATTACGTAAGAGGGGTGGTCATATAAGTGCATTTTTTTTTTTAAAGCTGTGCTCACATTCTGCAGGGAGATGCAACAATTTAGTGAATCAGACATTTCTCATCCATAACCTATTATTTCAACAGAGCTTTCTGAAACAACAATACTTATTCTTTCTACTTACTGCCTCTTTAATTTCACAAGAGAAGACATGAATTTGAAACTCCTCAGTGCCAGAGTAACTTTCAGTAAACGCAAAGCAGTCACATTCCAAAGTCCCATTTTGCCCACGGACACAGAACAACACTTTGTAGATTGGGAAAGAAGCAATTTCTGTACTGTTGGACTGATCTATTATTCTAAATGAAATGAAGAAAATTAAGAAACCTTTGTAATTCTGTGAGAAATAATAATTTCTTTGCTATTTTTGATATCTGTATCCACTCTGGAAAATGTTTAAAGTGTTCACAAAAAGGTATTTGCAATTTAAATATTTAAATGCTATTAAATTTCACAATACTGTAATATGTTATGTTTTTAATCACATGACAATATGCTGTTGTTCAGTTTTGTCACTTATATTCTAAATAGATTTTAGATCAATAGAGTTCACATTTATTATATGTAGAAATACTTAACAGTATCTGAATATTCACAATTTCATCACAACTGCTTTCTTTGACATGCATTTCAGCATTAAGTACATTTTCACAGTATACTTTTTTAACTTTTATTTCTTTTCTTTTATGCTTCAACTAACTGTTAAAACTACAGGTTGTTTGGATACAACTAAGGATAAAATTTTAAATATATAATTAAATAATTATAATCTGTGAAATCGCAACACGTCATAACTATTATATGGACTGGTGAGATACTAGAGTATATAAATAACACAATCAAAATCTCCATTAATTTCCCTGAAAATGTTTTATGTATATTTGAAGGTAAGATATTGACTTTCACCATAATTGTTTTAGACTAGAGTATACATATTATATTATGCCTGAAACCGGTAGAGACAGAGGTAGATATGAAGAAAAAGAAAAAATACAGAAAAGAAAGAAAAAGAAAAGGAAAAACATAGAAATGTAATTCCTTTCCTTCAATTTTTGACACCATAGTTCCTCATGAGATTTATCAGGGAGATCATATAGAACCGTCCTCCAGCATATGCATGACGTTCTTGTTTAGTCGCTGGTAGTACAAGAACAGAAAGAAAACTTCAATTGGATGAAGCCAAAAGCCCCATATAATCCAGCACTGCATGTCACATTCAGAATTTATAAGCATGGCGAAAAAGAGAACCAGCTCTCCTGGTAGCAACTAATAACTAATATATATAACATAGTCCATAATTGAATAGGTGACATAATGTCATCAAGCCCCATTGTTGATAATCCTCTCCTTTGTAGTTTTGTCCAACTTTTTCCAGTTTCAAATCCATCAAGTGATTTCACAGTAAAACAAATATCCATAGAAAGGTGGATATTTATCTATCCACACATATTATTTTCAAATATCCTATCTTAAATTTCACTGTAGTTCTTAATCTAGTAAAAATGCTCCTTGTTTAGATCATAAACTTCAAACCAAATCTGAAAAAAGTTCTGCTCCAAAAAACACCCCACTTGAGCTTATAAAGCTGCTACAAGTGCCAATACCCTTTCGCGTTATGTCTAGACTGGAATTAAGGCACCTGCTTTCCTAATCAGCTATCTGCTATCAGCTATACACTGCAAACATCCAGGCAACATTTGAGGAACTTGAAAGAAAGATGGGAATTAGATATGATCTTCAAAACACAAAACAATAGATTTTACTGAGCAACTTGAAGCTCCTACAGGAGGAAGCAGGAATCCATTCCTGTCCTGTTCTTAAACTTATTTGGATACCTTGCTCAATAGATACTCAATAGAAACATCCAGCTCACCTAACAGAACCATCTGGGATATTTGGAACATAAAGAGTTACAGGAGATGGAGAATGATTTGAGTTTTTCAAAGTTGCCATGGCACACAAGGCCTCTGCTTCACTGCGGGGAGCAGAAACTTTCATACATCCGAGGTATAACAATTTGTTGAATAATACACTATCCTCTTCTGAAGGTACAGTGAAAGAATGTGATGTTTGCGATGAAGATTCTGAAACAAACACAATTCAACAATTAGCCAATATTCATTGCAAAGTGTCATTCATAATGACAGAATCATAACCACAACAATGTTCTTGGACCGCCTCTGAAAACTGTTGCAAGATTATAGATGATTATTGTTATATTAATATTCCTAAACTCCAAGTGCATAACGACCACAAAAGAATCTTATAACAGGACTGCAGCACCCACACATTCATTTGCCCTTACGACCAACTGCAGGGATGCTAAAGCAGAACCACCCACCTATCTTCCCTCCTACCCTCCCCCCAGGGTCTCTGCAAACATTTCCCTCCCTGAATGGCTCCCTGCTAGCTTTAGGCCTGATTCCCACCCCACCAAGCCCCACACACTCCTCCTCACTTACCTTTTGAAGATCTGAAACTTTCCATAGCACTGGAACAAGTCACTTTGTGCTCAGCCGCATGGCACAATTTTGGAAGCAGCTGTTATGTATCCAGGGCCTAAATTGCATTCTGGTAGCTGTAAATATCGCTGCCACTTCTGGAATCGCACTATATGGTTATGCAATTAAGTGATCCATTCCAGCACTCTGGAAGGCCTCAGAGCTCTTCAAAAGAAGAGGAGGAGGATGTTTGACGTGGTGGAATGGGAATCAAGCCTCAGGGGACTCAGTGGCAGTTGGAAAAGGTGCGTGGGGAACCAAGGGGCAGGAATCAGAGCATGGGGTCTCTCCAGGAATGGGGAGCCTTGGGAAGACCGGGGCAGGCTGGCCTAGGCCTGTGCTAGTCTTCCAAGAGTCTCCCCCATCTATAGGCAGCCCATGCTCCATTAAGTGACCTATACGTTCATTTAATTATTATACTGGAGGGAGCAGGGATGGGGAGAATCAAGTTACATGCTTTATTTATTATTATTTATTTATTAATCTAATTTATATACCGCCCTTCTCCCAGGAGGACTCAGGGCAGTGTACAGCCAAGATAAAAACACACAGATATAAAATTTAAAAAACAATTTAAGAAATATTAAATAATTTGGCCCATATCTATTAGGTTAAAACAACCCGTTTTAAAAAATTAAAAGTTAAAAATCAAAAGATTAAAAATTAGGCCAGCCCAGCTTGTTGAAATAAAAGCGTCTTGAGGGCATGACGAAGTGTAAGTCGGGAATCCTCCGTATCTCGGGGGGCAATTCATTCCAGAGGGCAGGTGCCCCCACAGAGAAGGCTCTCCCCCTGGTGGTCGCCAGCCGACATTTTTTGGCAGATGGCACCCGGAGGAGCCCTTCTCTGTGGGAGCGTACTTTACTTAATGGCTATCACAAAATGCAACCATAACGGATAGGCCCCATTACAGTCATATCTCAAGAACTACCTGTAATTTTAAAGGTACTGACAACTATCTGCAAATATGTTTCAAGCAGCTTCCCTCGAATATTTTTCCTTCTTAAAATATGAAAATGAATGTTAAAATAAATGCAAAATTCAGCAATCATTATACGAATAAGAACATGCATTATGAATGTTTTTATCTTTTCCTAAATATCTCCTTCAGTATTTACACAATTTACAAAGTATTTCTGCTATTACAGGTAGCCCTCAACTTACGACCACAATTGAGCCCAAAATTTATGTTGTTAAGTGAGTTGAGTTGAGTTGTTAAGTTTGAGCTGGCTTGAGTTAAATTTTAAATTGGAATTTTTTAATTACGGCCAAAATATTTAATTATTTTAAACAGTTTTTAGATTTTGTATGTCTTGTTTTTACTTTGGCTGTTCACCGCCCTGAGTCCTATATTGGAGAAGGGCGGTATAGAAATTTAAACAAATATAAATATAAATAAATATAGAAATTTGCTAAGTGAGTTCTGCCCCATTTTAGACTTTTCTTAACAGATTTGTTAAGTGAATCACTGTGGTTGTTAAATTAGTTAACACGGTTGTTAAGTGAATCAGGTTTCCCCATTGAATCTGCTTGTCAGAAGGTCGCAAAAGGTGATCACATGACCCTGGGACATTGCAACCGTCAATTGCCAAGGATTTGAATTTTATTCATGTGACCATGGGAATGCTGCAATGGTCATAAGTGTGAAAAATGGTTATAAGTAATTTTTTTCAGTGCTGTTGTAATTTTGAATGGTCACTAAACAAACTATTGTAAGTTGAGGACTACCTGTACTTAAGAGTCATCTTCAAATGGGATTGGCAGTACACAAATTTAATAAACAAACAGACAAACCTGCGGTGGGAGAATCAAGTGGAAGATGCATAGAGCTTTGGTTCACAGAAACCTCTTCAAAAGATTGTTGGCAATTGCCACTCAAATCCACAAAATCAGAAATACTTTCTTGCGGGCCTTTGTCAAAATTTTTCAGTACATTTTCCATGGTTTGTGTTATTTGTTGTTCTTCATCTGGAAACATCTAGAAGAAAAAATAGAGGAAAAATATTTATCAGTAAAGGTAAAGGTTCCCCTCACACATATGTGCTCATTCTCAACTCTAGGGGGTGGTGCTAATCTCCATTTCAAAGCCAAAGAGCCAGCGCTATCCAAAAACGTCTCCATGGTCATGTGACTAGCATGACTAAACACCAAAGGCACATGGAACGCTGTTACCTTCCCATCAAAGGTGGTCCCTATTTTTCTACTTGCATTTTTACATCATTTCGAACTGCTAGGCTGGCAGAAGCTGGGACAATACGGCACTAGGGATTCGAACCGCTGAACTGCCGACCTTTCAATCAACAAGCTCAGCATCTTGGCCACTGAGCCACCACGTCCCTCATCATTTATCAGTACAGTATTACAATTCCACAAGCAACAGTATGTCTTAAACTTTAATAAATACCTTCATATCATAGTCAAGCTATTTCCAAATAATCAATTCCTGAAAACAGATACCTTATTTAATTCCGTTAATATTTTAGCCGTTTATTACTATATATGTTTATTTCTCCATCAGTTTTTGGTCTGAGGACAATGGAAAATCTTTTCACACTAATCTTTCTGTCATGTCTGTCATACAAAGTGATTCTTGTATTAGTGTATTATTCTACTACTAATTTAGATATATTTTTATGACAGGGTTACTCATCTGAAATGAAAAAAATTCAGAAACTAGTAAAAATAGGAACTAACTTAAAAAAAAACAAGGGAAGTTTTATCATTGGATTTTAATGGACTATTTTTTAAAGAAACATTTTCATGAAATTGGATATACCAGTTATTTTAAATGAAAATTTAAAAATTTTATTTAATTAAATTTAATTTATTTAATTAAAATAAAAAACTCCATTTTTTATTTTAAAAAATCATTAAGAAAAAAATATGAAAAAAAATGGAAAAGAAGAGTCATACCCATATACAGATACAGATAATGTATAAAAAAGCAGCTTTCAATCTTCCTCTCAGCAGTCATACATACAATTCTAATCAGACCTCTTTCTCTAAGATTACATTGGAATTCCCTTTTCTATATAAGCTTTTATTTCTAGTCATCACACCAAAATCCATCAGCAAAATGAAGTCCATTTCAAAATTCAAAATTCTAATTCTTTTTGCCATAAGAATCAAACAGCAAAATTACTTCCAATTAGTTGTTATGTATGTATCTTTTTATTACTAAAATCTTTTAGATCATAATCTTCTACAAGTTATAATTTTATAGTATCCAAAACTCTAATATTTAAAGATAAATGGAAAAACCAATACATCATACTTTATGAAATACAGAGATTTAACAAGTTCAGAAAACATCTACAATCTGCCTCTCGTATGCGATACTGACAATGGTGTGTTATTCTACATATGGCTGCATTCTACAGAATGCATGTAAAGCCTAGGAACAAAATTAGAAAGTTTGTATATTATTTGGTGATTTCACAATTTAGTAAATATGACACTTTAGAACTATCTTTTTTATTTACAATTTTAAATATATAGTTGTTCTTTCAAGCAGCAGCTTTAAAATTCAAATGAGCATTAATAGCTATGTGATTTATTAATAGTGATGGATTAAAAATTCAACTTCTTTACTATATTACAAATTACAAAATAGTCTACTAAATCATTCCAAGCTACAAAATCTTTATAAAAATGTTTTAAACAAATACACGCTATGGTACGTTTACAGTACAACAAATTTACTGATTATGTGGCATGTTCTTCAACCAAACAAGCAGTTAGAGAGCATTAACTGTATAAATATATTTGGGAATGAATATTAAATGTTGTTCTCCTTATAAAGCAATGAAAATGTAAAAATAACTGTTATACATTTGGATTAAAAATAGCAGATGCTTAATGCTTCTTTTAATTGACCTAGATACAATGCAAGATATGAAGCTATTGTCTAAGTCCTTCTTAACATCCAGAGAGGTTGAAAAAGCATCTATCTATCTATCTATCTATCTATCTATCTATCTATCTATCTATCTATCGAACAAGAGTGCTAATGCATGGAAAGAATAAAACTGATTACACAGAATAAAAATAACAATATTGCATTTGAAGAAAAAAAAAACACAATGTTCCAGCAAAAGCAGGGCAATGTGAATAATTGCCTCAGGATCTGAAGAACATCACAGAATCACAACTAGCTGACTTCTCTTTCGGATCTCCTCTCTTACTTCATTCCCCATTTATTATTCTCCTGAGAGCAGTCAGGATCCAAAGAGAGATCTTACGTTTAAATTTACAGTTCCAAATTCTATTCTTAGACCAAATGGTTTTAGCTCCAAGGTGCCTAATAATGTATCAGCAGAGCTCACTCACTATCACCTTGAGCACAAGTTAGTCAGCCAGTTAGAATCAAAAAATTGCTGAACTAGAAAATGGCTGTAACACTTTTATTTCCCCCTAAGCTATGAATACAAATTATTTCTAATTACTGTACTTACTGAAAATTATATTTAACTGGCAGGGCAGAAATTTAATATGAATTGCTATTATCCAAAAAGACACCAGAAGAGAGGCTCAAATAAATATAGAAAACACCTGATAGAAAAGTGTTCCAATGAGGAGGTAGATATCTGTGTATTTGTGTGGGTGGGTGTGGAGGGGTGCACACAATTGCACACCTTCAAGTCAGTACTGACTCCTGGCAACTGCTTGAATAAATCTCTGCAGTTTTCCTGGCAAGAGTTCAGAAGTGGTTTGCCATGATTTTCTTCCATAACTGTTTTAAGATTATATAGTTGGTTTCGGGACTAGATGGGACTAGAACTCATGGTCCCCCAGTTACTACAGTAGGAATCTTAGTGCCTTAACTAGTTATACCAAATTGGCTCTCAAATGCCATTATTATGCATTATGCATTCACAATTATTCATTGACTATATAATGGCACAAAACCTTGCACATTGTTAGCCTTAATAGTGATGAAAGGTTGAGTCTCCGCAGCTCAAGTTTTTAATTTTTCTCTCCTTCCTCCTCAGCCAAGGTTGAATCCCATACACTTCCATCTCATGTTTATGGATTCCAATCACAGGAGGCAACAAGTGCCCTATCATTTTAAAGATTAGACACACATTTTTCTTGCCTTGATGTTTAATTTATTATACCAACAGTCAAAGCAACAGCACAACTTTTCGCTGTTTCCAGGTTCTCTTGATTACTTTCCAGAGCTTCCCTCAAGACTTGACTGTTTTTTTAAAGACAAGGAAGTTGCTGCATCTTCTTCCAAATGATTTGGAAAATTTTTCACATATCACAAAATATGGTGAGGATCCATTCTATCACCATCACCATTCCCACCATCATGCTTGACTATCTCAGACTCCCATGACACTGTGGGGTGGGGAGGGAGATCACTGGGTTCAAAATTGAGCTACTGGCATCCAGGCACTTACGTTGGTCATCCAATTATATGCTTCATCCCAGCATTCTATACTTTCTCATCAGTGGCCTTCTCCCCACCCACCCACCCACACCCCATGTCATTGCTCCTGAATCTTTTTCATAACACCAAATGTCACTACGGCATGTGGGAGAGAATCATCTTATAAAAACATGATATCTGCCATCATACTAACAATAAAAAGAGATGCAAACTCCTGCATTCTCTGCTACCTCAAAGACAGATATCTTTGCTTTTGAAAGAGTAGAAAAATGAAATCAATAGATTTTCAAACAAAAGTGTAACTTCATATGGTCACAATATTAAAAGCTCAATACATATTTAGATATTAAATTTTAGAACATTGCCAGTGTTATCTCAACACTACCAAGCCTTGGTAGTACAGTGGTTTAATGCACCCTGTAATTAACACAGCTGCCTGCAATTTCTGCAGGTTCGAATCTTACCAGGTTCAAGGTTGACTCAGCCTTCCATCCTTTCTAAGGTGGGTTAAATGAGGACCCAGTTTGTGGGGGCAATAAGCTGACTTTGTATAAATATACAAAAGTATGAAGGCTATTGCTTAACGCATTGTAAGCCGCCCTGAGTCTCCGGAGAAGAGCATAAAGACATTCTGTCAAGCTTCAGCTGTCAAGACAGGACTGGAAAAACACCTGGTAATTTATTTTTACTGTAGAAAATTGTAAGCCATAATGAAAGAATGCTAGCAACTAGAGTTTCAACCACAAATCCTATTTATAGACAGAATTTAAACCTTTCAATGCCTTTTCTTGTGCCTTTCCTACATAATGAACAATTTTAGAGAAAATGAACAAGATGAACAAAATGGAAAGTGTGGATGAACAAAATGGAAAGTGTGCTGCTTTGTTATCATGTTGTTCTTTGTGAGAATTTTCACAAATTTGTTAGGCCACAGTGATAGAAGCATCATATGAATTGTGGTTATTCAACAGTAAAATAAGAAAACATCAGTTGAGAGGTACATGCAGTTTGTTGACAGTATAAGAAAAATTACACCATGCTTATTAAAAATTAGCTTTGTGTTGTTTCCTTCTATTCTGATCAAATCTGAAAGCAAGCCATAATATCGCAATGTGGTGGGGTTTGTGGGGGGGACTAAATATGCAAATTTATCTTCTGGTAAATTAGGTAGGACCTATGCTTTCTTTTGGGGATCCATAATTCACATTCTATAAAGAAAGTAGGGGAGACTGTAAGTTTCCAGATCAGTCTGTTCCTTCAGATGTTCAGGATAAAATAATGGCTGCTAGTTGGAGAATTTTACCTCCATTTTTCAACTCTAAGCCCATTTCCCTACCCTTCTACAATCTTAATTCCTACTCCTACACCTTTTCTTTCCATCATACACACTCTTCAATTCCTTCCCTCTGTTAGTTCTATTCCTCAAATAAAATAGGAGAAATAATAGTATATTTTGAAAAGCTCATATAGTAATTTCTATACAGTATAGCAAAGAACAGGACAATATTTTAAGCTGCTCATTGTTGGCTACTTTTTCAACTCTATGTTCCCACCATTTTTTATTATTATTTGATACTTTTACAGATGTTCCAGTGAATCATTTTGGTGACTGTCTTATGTCATTATTTATATAACTAGTCTGCTATCTTCTTGCACAAGTTGAGTATATATAATTATTTATTCTGCTTCTTCTTCTATCCTACCTTTTTATATATAAATTAAGGTGGTGAACATACCTAATATTATGGAATAATTACAAGAATTTCCTTCCAAAACAAAATGTATCAGTGTTCAGGATTTTAGAGCATTAAGATATTTCCTCTATTGTAAAATATCTCTAATATATAGACTCTCAACAATATAGAAGTGTTTGGTTTAAAAAAATATTTAAAATCAATTCAGATATTTTTATTTCCCACTGAAATTGATTTGTTTTTATAATCTGTTGTGAATTATTACAGAATTAGAAATCAGTGAAGTAACAATATGAAATGGTTTTGAAGTAAGTTTTTTAGGTCTTATGCAATATTTTAAAAACCGTAAATGGGGGGAGTGATTGCTATTACAAATGGCAAAGGTTACTCTAAGAAATAGGCTGCTACAGATTACAAACATCACAGTACACACTGGACTTTAAACTATCACAGTGCCATGTCTTATTCTTGATCCACGTCACCAGTAATAAATTCTTATATATTATGAACTACAAACCTGCTACATATTTTAAACCTTATTTATAAATGTTGGTAGTGGTACATTTGCTTAAAGTTAACTTATTAAAAATTAACTTCAAACACTGAAAGCATGCCCCACAACCTCAGTATTTACCAAATGAAGATGAACACTTTTGGCAGAAGATAGAAATGTACATATATTACACAATGAATATTTGAGCCAGTCAGTTCAATACTACTTATCCTCATATGGTTCTTCAAGGTCTTAAATGGAGTATTTTCAAATGATTTCAATGACTAGAAATCATTTACTAGAAATATCAAGGAAAAAGCATGAATCTTCCATTTGAAGCATACCTTCTAATGTTCAACTAGCACATTTAATTAAGGCTTTATTAGCATTTACAACCATTCCATTGCATTACAATGCAAGATACTTTATTTATAGTGGGAAAACTGCTCCAGTAGATTTTCCAATTCATAACACCACAGTATAGATTTGCACCACAGTATAAATCCTATTTCTTTTCAACAGTTCAACAAAACTTTTAAATAAAGCCTTCTATAACCTGGCAGCTCTAAATGTGTTGGGAATGTAACTCCCCCGAAATCCTAGTTACTTGCTTCAATAAATGTTCTTCAGAACCAACTTATCAGGGCTATAGGTTCCTATTAAATTATTAAATTATTAGATTTTTGTATTTACACACACACTCAATTTAAGGCAATGAATGTACTTAATACTGTACTTAATATTGTTGCGTCGTTTCTCCACCACAATCCTGTGAGGTGGATTGGGCTGGCTCAGAGTCACTGGGCTGGCCTTCAAGCCTAAGGGAAACCTAGTATTCGGTCTCCTGGTTTCTAGGCCAGTCCCTTAACCACTACACCAAACTGGCTATCTCTTCATCATAAAAGTATCCACAGTGTGAATACTTCTCTAGATTCATTTTCAGAATGCCTGCTTCAAACATATTTCTTAGGATTATTTTCATGCCATTTATATTTTATCACTATAAGAGACTATTGCTGAGTTCACATATATGTGTTGGCTAATTATGGTTTATTGTATTGTGGAAACTCGGGCAATTAGGTTAATTCGATAAATCAATGTGTCGCCTTTGAAATGAGTGTTCATAAAAATCTTGACCAATTCTAAAGCCTGATAATAAGATTTGTCTTTAAATGCAATTATACAAATTTGGGTGACAACTGTTCATTAATATTTTAAAATATATTAATTCGCAGAACTCAGTCCACTCTGAAATACTGGCAAAGTCCTGCTACTGGAGTCTGACTTTCCTATCATAATTTCAAGGCTAACATGCATGTAAATTCCAGTCAAAGCAAAATTAACTAGTCTTACCTATTGCATTTAGATCCAGTTTATACTTGTTTAATGTTCACTTCTCTGTTGTAAATGAAGTTTTATACAGTTCAACTAAGTATACCCAAGATTTGTTAGAACTTTATTAAACTTACATCTTTGGATCCTTACAATGTATTGCAATATAATATCTAAAGAAAATCGATTTATTTCTCTACCTCAGCCATCTACTTTTTTAAAAAACCCACTGCTTTTTGCATGGGAAAAAAGGCCTGAACCACATCCTTCCTCTCATCACGCATTTCCTATATCTCACTAGACTAGAGCACCGCTCAACTTCACCTTAAAAACGCCCCGATTCTGCCCCCCCCCTCACCCCATAAATGCCTCCCTTCTCACGGATCCCATCCACCGCGTTTTGTAGCGGACTCGCTAAGCCGCAAGAAAAGACGAGCATCACCGGCAGCCACGCTCCATCCTTAGCCAAGTCCTTTCTTTTTGAAAAGATACGCGACCAGCTTAAAGAAGCCCCAAAAGTTCATTTCGGCAGCCCACGCACTTTGAGCTGCCTAAGGTCGCCACCCTTCAGCTTGTTCGGACAGCAATTACAAGGCCAAAGAGATTTCGGGACTGGGCTCCTCTGCGGCTGGACCTCCTTCTCGGAGGCAGACGTCAACTCTCCACGAAGTCTTTACTTTCACCCCGCGCCTGTCCGGTGATCCCCCTAAAAAAAAAAAGATCTGGAACTGGGAGGAGAGGAAACCTAAATTCCGGACCTGGAGGCAGAATAAACTAAAGGCAACTGGGCTCAGCCGCCCCAAAGGCGTGAAAGCTCGCCAGCGCGTCCAAGCTGAGTCTACTCACTCACAACGCTCCTTTTCTCCTTTTTTCTCTTTAGCACATCACCTCCACTTCGCACTCCGGGCAAGACAGCGCCCCCGGCGGGAGAGGGAGCCTCGCCTCCGTCGCCCCTTACCCAGAGTCGCTCCCTCGGGAGGGTGTCGCTGCTGCTGCTGCTGCTGCTGTTGTCGTCGTGGAGGGAAAAGAGGAGGCGCGCCTCTTCCGTTCCTCTCTCCCGGCTGAAGGCGGCGGTGACGAGGGCGATTCCGCGGAGGGGGCGGAGAACTGAACGGCGGAGCAAAGCCGGCAGGAGGAACCGCCCCAGCCTACATCACGGCAACTGCGCAGGCGCCTCAGGGCCGGTGCAAAGGCGCGCTCCACTATCCTGGGGTGACTGACAGGGTGGAATCCAGTAACGGAGGATGGAACGGTAGCAGTTGGGACGACCTGCAGAATCGAACCCCGAAAGTTAACCAAGGAACGGAACCGCGGCTCCAGGCCCCTTCCTCATTATCCTTCCTTCCCTGCTCCGACACGACTCGATTTGTTAAGTCTCTGCCTCGTTCCCGTGTCGTCCCCGGAGCTAAAGTTCAGAATACAATACTGCTCTTAGCTTTCATTCCTTCAAACACTCAGCATCTTCAAGCTGACTGAAGTAAACCAGCTGAAGGAATGATTAGCATTCTCACTAATCTGGAGTCTAAATTCAAGGGGATGTAATTCGCTTTATCAAGAATTAAGAAAAATATTTTAATAATCAGAACCAAGGAACAAACACTATTTTCCATTTGCCACCAGCCAAAGATCCAGGATCATATTTTTATGTACCGGTATTTGTTAATGTATTCAATTTGTAAGACTGCCTAATCATCATGTGACTCAAAGGGGCAAAAACTTAGATCTGAAAAATTTAATCTCTTACAGCTGGTACCTGGATTGATGAATGGTGCAATTTTTAAGGATTTTTTCACTCAGCCAAAATTAATCTCTTGATATAGCCTTACTACTGTATTTTAATAGCCTTATTATGAAACAAACATGGTCATAGAAATCAAAATTTTCTTTAAAATCACTTAAAATTGCCAGCTGTGTAACTTAATGTTTTATTGCTTAATGCATTGTAAGCCGCCCTGAGTCTCCGGAGAAGGGCGGCATATAAAAAAAAATGTGTCCCTTGAGTTTTCAGGCCCCTGAATCTCTTCCTTTCTCGAAGTGCATTGTAAAAACGTAACAAATTCAGTCTTCCTATGCAATATCCATCATCTGAGTTTTGTACCAAAGCATCATTACATTCATTTCTCAACAAACCATGAACAATTTCCTTATGTACCTGTCAAACTGTATCATCTGGTGAAGCAGCTGAATAGTCCAAAGCCTTAATATGTACATGATATGGTCTAAGATGTCACTTCTTTATAGTGTTTCCAGTGTGTCATTAGAATATAGAATTATTTATTGTCCAAGTGTGATTGGACACACACACATGGAATTGATTTTCAGTTTACAAGGAATTGATTACACAAGACATAAAGTCTGTTTATGAAGATGAACTCCAGCTTAACGCTGACCTGGAACAAAACAAAACTGACCATATTGCAAGGAGCATGCAGTACCCCTTCCCCTAAACATACTGATAAATACTATTTACTATGTTTCACCTAATGGTAATTACCAACTCCCTTACATCTAATGGAAGCTACATCCTGCTAATTAGCTTTGAGACCAATAATTATTGTGGTAAAAAAGGAATTTTAAATGGAAGCTGTTATCTAATTAAAACAGGTGTGCCTCTATTTGGCCTTCCCATTGTTTTAATAATTGCATCAGATATGGCCCTTGGATTAATCATCCAATAACTTTTTTTATGCTCCTCAAAATGTAACACTTTTATGCTCCATATTTGCTGATTACAATTTCCAGCAGGCCCAGCCACATGGACAATTGTAAGTATGTATTCTTCTGTATAGTGCCACAGTACAAAATAGTTTGGAAAGCAGCATGCAAGGCATTAACGTACCTGTTCAGCATTTACTTACCTGTATGTTGTTTGTTTATTTATCACATTTAGAAACTGCTAATCTCCCTCAGAGGAACTCTGGGTAGTGTACAAGTAAAATCTTAAAAACATAAAAACTAAATATAAAATTTAAAATACAGGTGGAATTAAGTTAATAAAAGATGGGGGGAGTTTTCAGGATGCTAATTATCCCCACAGCTGTGTGATATTTTTGAGACTAGGAGAGTGGGGGCACCCCCTGCCTGTGGGGGAAGAATGTTCCAAAGGGCATGGGCAATGACAGAGAAGGCTCTCTTCCTGGACCCCATCACTTGGAATTCTTTAACTGACAGCATCTACAACTTGCCTTCCCTATCTGCCCTAGTGGGATGGACTGATGTGATGCAGCAAAGACAGTTCTCGCCCCATGCTATGTAGGGCTTTAAATATAACCAACACCTTCAACTGGATCTAGAAGCAGACAGGCACCCAATGCAGTTTGGGCAGCAAAGGTCTTATATGCGTCATTCTTTGGGCACCTAAGATTATCCTCATGGCTGCATTTTGTATCAGCTGAAGTTTATTGTTGACTTATTGAAATTCATAAAAGCTGAGAGCTTGCTGAAATGAAATGGGAGTCTAATCAGTGAACAAGAGGAGGACAAGCCAATACCTTATATTGTGAAAGAAAGAAAGAAACCAACCAGAAACAGGTTACCTGAAAATAAGGTTTTCTACCAGGGGTGAAATTCAGCAGGTTCTGACAGGTTCTGGAGAACCAGTAGTGGAAATTTTGAGTAGTTCAGAGAACCGGCAAATACCACCTCTGGCTGGCCCCTGAGTGGGGAGGGAATGGAGATTTTGCAATATCCTTCCCCCAGGAGTGGGGAGAGAATGGGGATTTTTCAGTATCCTTCCCCTGGAGTGGGGTGGGAATGGAGATTTTGCAGAATCCTTCCCCTCCCACGCACACCAAGCCACACTATGCCCACCAAGCCCCACCCACAGAACCGGCAGTAAAAAAAATTGAATTTCACCACTGTTTTCTACTAGGAAAAAAAATGATGATTAAAAACGTATGTATGTAGGTAGGTTACTCTTGTTCAGCTGAATGTTTTCGGACATTCAGAATTATGTGCTATCAAAATCATTTTGAAATTTTGGAGGTTCTTGATTATAAGTAGAATTCTTGTTTGAGCCAACAGTGCATGGCAGCAGCCAAAAAAGCCAATGCAATCCTAAACTGCATTAATAGAGGGATAGAATCAAGATCACATGCAGTTCTAATACTTCTTTACAAAGCCTTAATAAGACTACATTTGGAATACTGCATCCAGTTCTGGTCACCACAGTACAAAAAACGTTGAGACTCTGAAAAGTGCAGAGAAGAACAAGCAAGATGATTAGGGGGCTGGAGGCTAAAACACAATGAATGATTACAGGAATTGGGCATGTCTAGTCTAATGAAAAGAAGGACTAGGGGGGACATGATAGCACTGTTTCAATATTTGAGGGGCTCCTACAAAGATGAGGGGGTCATACTATTTTCCAAAGCACCAAAAGGCAAGACAAGAAACAGTAGTTGGAAACTAACCAAGGAGAAAAGCAATCTAGAACTAAGGAAATTTTCTGATGGAACAATTAACCAATGGTATAGCTTGCCTTCAGAAATTGTGGGTTGTCCATCACTGAAGGTTTGTATAAAGAGACTGGACAACCATTTGTCTGAAATGGTATTAGGGTCTCCTGCTCGAGCAGGGGGTTTGACTAGAAGATCTCTGAGGTCCCTTCCAACTGTAGTATTCTATGTTCCCTGCAGTTTGCAAGTCTAAAATTGCAAATACTCCTGAGGTGGGCAACACCTTGCTCTACATGCCTTGCAAATTCTTTCTGGGATTCTTCCAATATTTGTTTTGGCCAAACTAGCTAATCCAAAGGTATTGACAGAACTCCAGGACGACTTTTTTTTTCTTTTTAGGGTGAAACAAAATACCTACAAGATCCCTTCCAACTCTGTTATTCTATTATATTCTACCTTCCTTATCTAGAGCAAGCATGACACCAAAGATTTTTTGTATTTTTGTGCTGCCATCTAGTGGTCATTTCCTTTTTTCCTCTTTTGCAGTTCAGGTATAAGAACCGTATTTATAAAGGGCCATGCAGCTCCTCCAGTCAAGGGCCAGGCCAACAATTAGAAAACTAAGTTACTTCAGTCTTCAGCAGTACAACTGAAAGGGCTCAGTTTCCTTTTGGAAAGTATCCACAGTGGATACCTATAAGATTGCTGAATGCCAAAAATGAAAAGAAAACCTGATTACTTTGCAAAGGAAGGTGGAAGTTTATACCTCTGAATTCAAGTATACCACAGAAAAGAAACTCAGTGCTCAGAGCAACATTTTCATGCAGCAAGCTTTTGTGACCTTCCTGAGTTCTGTCTTTTGACATTCTCTTTCACAATTTTGCAATATTTTAAACCAAGCATCAAATCTCCTGAATTTGATATTTTACTGAAAAAATATTTAATTGTAGTGAAGCTGTTTTAAGGTATTATAAGGCTCCACAAATTGAATAAATAAATGAATCGGGGGTCCAGTGCAACACCTGTTTCAGAAATCTATACCCACATTAGAGGTAAATTCATGCAAACTGAGGTGTTAAAACTATATATTCAAACTGAATATCAACAAAACCTAAATAAAACCTAAGCATCAATAAAACCTAAACTAAAAATTTAAGATGTATCTAAAAGAAATATTGCATACAAATCAGAGATGCTATTTATTTATCTGACCGTTATTTAATCCTTTGTCCTCCAGTAAAACGTGTGGTTCATTTTGTTAATCCATACCTGTGACTACAGGCTCAGTTGAAAATACTGTATATAAGAGTGTGCATATCTATGCATGTGCATGTTTGGACTGCATATTACAATAGTCAGAACTTGCAGGCATCCAGAATTTTAATTAATACACATAAGCCACATGGGTCTTCAGAAAAGTCACTGGTTTTTATATCATTGTAACAACCGAGTATAGTATACATAATTTTGTTAATCAGATTTCTTAATTCCTTCTGAAATTTTAAATTATGAATTTGCAATCCATGTAACTGTTCTAGTCCACCAAAATGATGTGGGCAAAATAATAAAATGTATATCATTGGTAAATAGCTATTTGATATCAGAATTTCTTATATCCTACAATCTTTGTCACTAGCTTTTTTCCTAATATTAAAGTTAAAATAATAATATGGAAAAGTTTTGCTTAGACACAATAACTCATACAGTATATTTGCAATTTATATTATTTTTGCCAGGAAGCTGAATTTATTACATAGTGCAGAGATTTGCTGGTAATGCATGCATTCATATCCATCATGCTATTTCTTTTTGCATAAGCAAGATCCTGCAAGCAGGAGTAAAGCTTAACTCTAAGAGTATTTTATTTTTATATTTAGACTGCTACAACGAATTTGGAATGTCTGAACACGGACTTGCAATTTAGATATACATACATATCTGTAATGCCATATAACCTTTTGGAGAAAGCACAATTATGCAAAGTATAGTAAAAGCATAATATAAGTAGTCCTTGACTTACAACCATTCATTTAGTGACAGTTCGAAGTTACAACAGCCCTGAAAAAAGTGACTTATGACCGTTTTTCACACTTATCACCGTTGCGGCATCTCCATGGCCATGTGATCAAAATTCAGACCCTTGGCACCTGACTCATGGTTGCAGCATCCCCATGGCCATGTGATTACCTTTTGTGACCTTCTGACAAGCAAAATCAATGGGGAAGCCAGATTCAATTAACAATCGTGTTACTAACTTAACAACTGCAGTAATTTACTTAACAAATGTGGCAAGAAAGATCCTAAAATGGAGCAAAATTCACTTAACAAATATCTCACTTAGCAAAGAAATTTTGGGTCCAAATGTGATCGTAAGATGAGGACTACCTGTATAGTAAGACAAAGGAAGAAAGGTATCAAAAAAAGAAACAAAAAATGAAATCTGACTTAACCAAACCATTCACAATAGAGTTTCAGGCAAACCATACTTCTTTCCACATTTGCATTTTCTTCCTTAAACTTCTCAATTGCTTTTGAGGTCTCATCCAATTATGACTTCCTTAGTTTTCTGCTACTCTCAATCCATTCCATTTTCCTTCATACATTCATTTTCTCTCTATCACCCAATTATCTCAATGTTTTCGTTGGTACTGGACATTCACTTTTGTATTCAGTCTACATTCATTCATCATCCATTAATTCCTAAAGGTATGATTTTGCTACATATACATCCATACCTACACCTACATCCATTACATTCAACTTACATTTATGCTTATGACATACTCAACTCTCAAAAACGGCAGAAGCACACACTTATACACAGCCAAATCCACTTCTTTTAACAAATATAATTCCTTGTGTATTTCCTAATCTGAAGTTTGGAGTAAATCTCAGGTATCCTGACATACTTTGGCTTAGCTTAACTCGGTTTAATTTAAGACCATTAAACATGGTTTAGTGAGATTACAATATTCTGCAGACAGGAATGTAGCTACCATAAAGTATACAGGTAGTCCTCAACATATGATCAGCAACTGTTTAGAGTTATGGACCCCCAAAAACCTTACAACCCAGTTTCAAAGTTATGACTGTTACAATGCCCACATGGTCATGTGAACAAAATTCCGGCACCTGGCAATCCACTCACCCTTACAACTAACCACAAGGATGTTGCATCACCTCTACCTATCTCTTCCTAGCTCACCCTGCCAAGTCTGCTTCTCACTCCACTGAGTCCCACCCAGTCTTCTCCACACTCCATCAGTGATTGATTGATTACTTACTTTTCACTATAATTCTTCTGAAAGCCCTGGAAATTATATTGGGAAAGGAAAGCAAGTCACTCTGCTCCTTGACCTCCCTACAGGCCATTTGAAGTGGGTGCAATTTCAGAACATCACGATTCATTGCATCTGCTTCCATAATGATGCCCACTTTCAGGATGGCACCAGGCAGTTTTGAGATGCCAAGGCCTCATTTCCTTCTCCAATACTAGGCCTTCCAGGGTCTTCGCCACCGAGGCATCCTAGGCTTCGCTTAAAATCACATCTGGAAGAGCAGGGAAGGGTTATTAAGTGAGGCAATAACATGGACACATTGCTTGATGACCATCATGATTTGTAACTATGATGGGCAGGTTGCATTATGTCTATAAGTCAAGGACTACTTGGATGCAACAACTGATTGCCAGCTGTCAACGAAAAGTGGTAAATGGTTTTTATAATTTCAAAGATTCAAGACCATGGACTTTTCCTTGCACACTTCTGAATTAAACAACATAGACTTGGTGGCCTTGAAGTCATGCAATAATTGTATATTTACTGTATATACTGTACAATGGTCAACTATGGTGTGAAAATAAAAATTTTGGAAGTCCATGTAACAAATACACTTCAGCAGATTTAACGGAATTAAGCAAAACAGTAATGAAATTATCTGAGATAAAACTCAAGTGAGAAAATGCCAGAGATGGTATATTTTGGAGATTTATATGGGAACGACACTGATATGACTATGATGATGTTGACTACATTATTGCAACACACTCTACACTGAGCTGCCTTTAAAGATCACCTGAAGCTTCAGTTGGTATAAAATGTGATGGTCTAGGTGCTCATGTGTATTTGCCAGCAGACATTTATTACACTTCCTCTGCATTGGATTCTTATTAGCTTCTTGGTGGTGAACTATGAATTTAAGAAACCCTTGATGACTTGGCATCAAGTTGCCTGAAGGTCTGTCACTTGAGTCAGCCCAAGCACCTTGATCATGCATGTAGTAGCTGGCATCTCCTCACTAAGGGTTATGGCAGAAACCAGTCAATTTTCACCAAAATTACTGTATTTTTTCTGCCTTTTAAATCTTAATAATTCTGTGCATTCTAACTACATTATTTGAAGCTTTTCTCTCTATACACTTCAACAATATTTTTCTCTAATCCTTTTTTTCTGCAGATATCTCTTACTTGGATAGGTAAGTAAGTAAACTATTAGAGTCTTTGACCAGCATATGTACATATTTTTGTTCAGTTTTACCCTCATGAGCTCCTACAGATGCATCATCTGATTATAATGGAGCTAGTTTCTGTTGTTCAGAAATTATTTTTCTACGCCTGCCTGACAGAAAGAGGAAAACATTCGAAGGCATATTGCTTACGCTGATCACATTTGCTGTATCCTGTGGTTATGCAGAGATAGAAATTAACCATTTCTGGCTCTTGAAGGCTGCGCTGAGGATGCAGCAAATAGCTTAACAAAATGACGACCGAATTCTGTGCGGGTTTATTCAAGAAGTCTCCTTCTTCTCCGGGAGGAAGCACCTTATATTCAACAGGGTTAACTATCTAGTAGGTATGCAGGGGACGATGCTCTTAAAACACTGTCGATTGCACGTCGTTTCAAAATGCGGGAAATGGCAGGCGTTTTTTTCTGTTCATCCGCCTTCCTCGGTTAGGGCATAAAGAACTGAGCTTTCCAGGTCTAATTTCCTCCCGCTTCCCCCTTTTGGGAAGGAAGGAAGGAAGGAAGGAAGCGCCAGGAGCGAGCCGGGAGGATGAGTCTAGGACTGCTCCACCCCTCCAGGAGCAGAAAGGGGAGGCCGACTGACCCAGCGAGCAATTGCATTAGCAGTGACGCCTGTTTAGGCGAAGAAGGCTTTGCTGCTGAAGCAAGCAAAGAGGCACCCAAGATGGCCTCTGCTGCAGGAGCGGCCGTGGCAGCAGCAGCAGCAGAGGGCCAAAGGCTGGGGCAGGAGGCCGCGGTCGGCCGGCTCTTGATGCTGGTGAAGGAGGAGGTAGGCGCGACGGCCATGGCCGTAATCCGCAGCTGAGAGGAGCTGCTGCCGCCGTCGTGAGGTGAGCTCTCCTCGAGTAGGGAAACAATAGGGCGGAGGCTGCGGCCTCCTCCTTCTTTCTCGAAGAAGGAAGGAGGAAAGAAAGAGAGAAACGGCGATGCCTGATTTTCTGTGAAGGAAACTCGGCTTTCTAATGCGCCTGAGAGACGATGTCTATTTCTCTGTTCTGCATCTCCCCTCCTCCATTTTTTCTTTCCTTTATCTGGGTCTGTAGGCCTCAGGCTTCCACCGTTCTCGATTTCTGTCGTTCGCCGCTCTGGTGCCTTTGAAGCCGAGCAGGAGAAACTCCGGTGTTGAGACAAGCCTTGGGAGGGGAATGTCTTTGCGCATTTCTCTGTATTCTGGGCCGGAGGATGAAAGAAAAGGGTTCTTTAGGAGAGTACTATATTTGTTATATTATTAAATTGATAATCCTGGCCAAGTTTGCTTGGGCGTTCACCTCACAGACCTAAGCGAGAAGTGCTGGTGCTATAAATCAGTTCCTTGCCTTTCTCTTCCTATTCCTAGGTTATACGTGCTAGGTTGACTAAATCTTGAACATAGGATCTCCCGGCATGTGTCAAGTTCCGTGCTTGGAACTAGGAGTAGCCCCTGTTCCAAGAGTCAGAATTTCTTTAGTGTAAAGGGTCGGGATTTATACCTTTACAACTTGTCATTTTGTGTACCATAGTTCATTGCTGTGGGTGGATTCGTTCCTCCATCAATCCTATTTTCCAATTTTGTTTAGTTAGTACATACAAGGAAGAATGTGAATTTCACCACTGTATATTTTAAAGTTCAAATAAACATTAATTTTGATCCATTTTTTGCTTTTCCTAAGATCTGAAACTTAGTTTTGTTAATTAGTTTTGCAAGTTTACTGAATTCTATTTTCTTCCCCACATATTTTGAAGACACTCTCAGGTAGATTGAGTTTGTGTAACCAGAAAAATAAGTGATGCATAAAAGTGAAATGGAATTTTAAATCTCTGGAGAAGTGCTGCTTCTTTGAATTTACCAAATATACGTTGTGGTTAAGAAAATAGAGCAAAAATGTATTTGACTGGAAATGAGGGATACAGATTTAAATAGTCTACTGCCTTTATATGTGGCAAAAACAATATTTTTTAATGGGAGAGTAGCAGGAAATGACATCTTGAGAATAGTTCATACTATTTTGTACATAATGTACAAAATTAAATCTAAATTTTCTCTTTTTTCACCATATTTTCTGAGAATGGATTTAAATGAACAATTGTTAAAAATTAATACATTCTTGTATGCTTGATTTTTTAAAAAACCGAAGTCTTAAAGCTTAAGAAAGCTATATCAATTTCCCTTGTGAAAACTATAAGTTTAAAAGTATATGTTTACTATAAATCTCTACAGGTCTATAAAATTTGTTTTATGGTTACCCAAACTCTTAATTTTTCCCCATTTTTAAAATGTGACTTATTTTTTGTCAAAATTTATACAGCCACCTCATACGAAGAGACTTTTGTTTTATGAAATTGACTGTCAAATAAATGTAATCTGTAGTATGTCATTGAAGCCATAGAAATAGGTTATAAAGCTCAAACAGACATTAATGATATAATAGAGTGGAAAAAATCTCATTTCTGATTACATTAAAAATTTAATTATGGACCACCTTAAGGTGTTTTCTGTGGGACCTTTAAAAGTTTCAGGACTACATCTGATATAATTCCTGAATATTTATTTGTATTATGCCTTTATTATTTTTACAAATAACTCAAGGCAGCGAACATATTCAACACACCTTCCTCCTCCAGTTTTCCCCACAACAACAACCCTTTGAGGTGAGTTGGGCTGAGAGAGAGTGAATGGCCCAAAGTTATTCACTTTACCCATGGGTTTCATGGGTAAAGCGGGACATGAACTCACCAACTCCAACTTTCTAGCCAGGTGCCTTAACCACTAATTATTATTTACATAATTTAAACATTTAGATGCTATAAGATACTTTCTAACATCTTAGGTTGGAGGTATGCTAACTGTAATTGTATATACATTTTACAAATAAATATATTAGAATTGATGGACTAACATTGATGGAAAGAAGTATCTCCTGTACTCAGTAAAATTTACACCAAGTACTATGAAGAATGGCCTCAAAAAAGAAGATGTTGACATGCATGTTCTCAAGCACGTTCTTGGGTCCTGATCCAAAACACTGCTCAAAGCACTTTTCAACATTTTAGCTTCCAATTATAAAGAAAACAACATGAATCTATTGTATGATAGTGTATCATTTTATACAGATCTGTACATAACTTTATTCTGCCATTGTACAGTACAAGTTAATTACTAATTTGACCTTAGGTAGTTATAATATGAAGGAGATTTTAGTTTAAGGAAAATAAGTTTTATAGAAGTCAATAAATCAAAAAGTAGTTGAAATAATTTGACACATACACACATGTTAAAAATCGGGAGACCACGCATTCTAGTCCCACCTTAGCCACGAAGTCAGCTGAGTGAACTTGGGCCAATTATCTCAGTCAGCCCTAAGAAGAAGACAACAACGGCATACCACTTCTGTAATCATGTCAAGAAAACTGTAGGACCATTCCAGGGAGTTGCGAGGAATCAACAATGACCTGAAAACACAAAATCATTTTAAAATGAATTAAAAAGAGGTTGGGCCCATCAGCAAGATAGCCACCTTGATGCACATTTTATTACAGAAATATTCAGTTGAAACTAGATATTTCCTGAATCTTTTGACTCTGTTTCTGCATAAACTTGAATTTTTCACTCTAAAACATTACAGATGTAGTAATTTAAAAAATGTCTATGTTATCTGTGGTTATATAGTATTTGCTGATTTAAGTGTACTGTTAAGAGCTAGCAAAATCAGAACCAAACTTTGTCACAATTTTTTTTTTGCCATTCAATGCAACATTTTAAGATTTTCAACCTTCTTGCATTTAGCTTTGCTTCTCATTGTCTTTTCAGTCTCCCTCTCTAAACTTCCTATCCAATAAAATGTGATATTACTGAGTTTATAATTATCATAATGACTAGCTTTCTTCCACTTAGCAATTTCTTTAGGTTCATGCACTGATCTTTTGAACTTCCTCTGAGCTTCTGAATTTCCTAGTAAAACAAAGAAAAAAAAACCATCCATTTTACCACCAAGAACAAAACACAAGATGGCTGAATAGGCAATTTACAGTGAGGAAAATTTGTCTTCATCAACTCTTTCTCTATCAGTTGTTTATTTAAATGATCTTATTTTTAATCATCTTTCTAACTTAAAAACAGTTATATGAATTGGCTGAGGGAATCTGCTCCAGATATAAGTAGCCTCAGCTTGGTAGACTACTGTATATGCTTGTATTATATAAGCAGAAAACATTTGAGAACTGAGCATAAGACTTCTTTGGCCATGATACAAATTTTTAAACAATGACTCTTTATTTAATTACCATATAAAAGTGTCATGGGGGCTATGTTGAATACCCATCTATTAAGTTTGACATTGGGAAAAAAATAGTCACTGATCCACATGGTTTATTATTATTATTATTATTATTATTATTATTATTATTATTATTACTGTTTATGTCTCACAGCTATTTATATTTTACAACTAGATGGTCAATACTCTAATTATATAACTTTGCTTCTCAATTTACATAAAATGTTAATCTACCTGATGGAGAACATGGCTTAACTTCAAGTTCTCTCAACAATATGATTCTTAATTTTTATGCACAATATCAGCTTAACTAATGTAGCTTGGCATGATCACAAGAATTAAAATACCTAATAATAAGCAGTATTACATTTTTGTTTTTAAAATCCCTGGTGCGTTTCTGTTGTAATGATGGTTACATCCATGCATAAACCAAATTCTTTAGATTATTCTGGTTTGTTCTAAATAAATATTTTGAACCTATAGCTCTTTCTCTGTAAGTGGCTTTAACTTGTTTGAATATAACCGTACTCCCATAATTTAATACAGGCCTCTGATTCATTCCTCCCCTATTTCCCAGGCCTTCTAAGTCACTAGCCAATATTGTGGCTTAATTGGGAGCATTTGTCAGTATGCTGCATGTACCTCTTAATTGACAGATATAGGCAACTATTTCTTTGCTTGCAAGATTTTCTCTAGGATTAGGTTTCCTAGTTTAATGTAGGACAGCATTCTGATTCTGATAAAACTGATTGCTCTTTTTGCAAATTGGCCAAGATGTGCCAAATTGCCAGTTACCTTTCTTATCTTTATCAGGGAAAACTATATGTTATATGAGTATAACTATGTCTACTTTACTAAAAATATAAAAAACATTATTTCAGATAATGGGATATAATAATGATGGGAAACAGATTTGTATCTATTGGCCGCTCTGGTGATTGCCTTCGCCCATGGAAGTTCATCACTTGAAATGTGGGAGGAGAAAATTGTAAAGACTGTGAATTAACAAATAAAATTCAAGAAAAAAATAGACATACTGGGTTTAGAGTTACTATGAATGAAAGGGCAAATGAAAGAACCAGCAATGAGTTTTGTGAAAATTGTGCTTTGTTTCACAGAAGAAACAAATATTCTGTTAGGTGAATGATATCAGATAAGAAAAGTAATTGGGCTGCTTGACCCAACATGAATCTGAATAGTGACTGGTAAGTAAGTATCTGCTTAGAAAAATGTCTATTACTTTCAAATACATAGTTTAAATATAAATCTTTATCATGGAAAAGGAATTAATCAAAAAGCATCATTGGTCTGCTTGTGATGAAAATTGGAAAACATTAATAAAGATACAAGAGAAATCAGTGAATGTAGGATAGACCCATTTTTGATTGTTGGCAACAGTTACAATGAAAAATACCCATGGGGAATTAAATAGAAAAATATGACAGAAATGAGACTGTAAAAACAAGAAAATAACACTCCTGTATGAAAGATTGTACATCTGTTTGAAGATAAGAATTATGTCAGACATAATGAGATGTGAATATAAAGAAAGAAAATATAGAAACTGATTGGAACTA